CTTCTTGATTTATTCCAGTAAATCTTCAAATAAAAACTTGTGTTTTGAATGAATAGGGATTAGAAAGAATGAAAAGGGTCTGTTATATATGGTATATATGAATCGTAACTAGAAATTTCTTAGAAAATGAAAACTGTACAAGTCAGGATTTGTCATTTGGGTGTGCCTGAATCGCCGTGTTGATGCTCACTCTGAAATTCGGACCAAGTAGCTGTTGTTTTAAACAACTACTACGTTATCCACTGAGCTACTGAATTTCGGTGTGAATAAAAACACAAAGACGTGTTAGGTTCATCAAAATGACAAGTTCTAAGTAGGACAAAACGAATGTCCTGGCTTTTACTACTATCTACTTATCAAATCTATTAAAAACTTGTGACATAACGATATTTCAAGGCAAACCGTTGAACCTATACATATAGTAATACAGACTGACCAGTTGTAGTTCTGAATATCAACAACGAGATAATTCAAGGCCTTATTGAAAAAAGATTAGTTTAACATTGAGTATGTGAACTTGTATCTGACTTTATCAAGAGACATTCATAGCTGTTAAATAACTTTTCTAGAAGCCGTGAACTAACCTCTGAAAGAAATCTAGAATACAGTGATTTTGATCTTCTTCAATCTGACGACTTATAAGTATCAAGTACTTATTTTTAAATTTAGTATCTGTCCTAAAAGTTTCTACAGATCCAGCATCAATGTTCTTTTAGTATATGAACCAAGTTGAAAAATCCGTTTATGTTCTCACTTTCTAATTTCATTCAATAGATTTCTAATGAAATTCATAATTAAACTAGAAAAGTCAATAATATCAAATGTTTAATGTATCGAATTGAAGAGGTCAGATCATTCTTTAATTAAAGAAATCTTAGACTGAAGTTTTATATTGGTTAATACTTGTCAGTAAGAAGAGATAGTATCTGTAAACTAGATTAATAGACTAAATTGTGAATGTGAATTAAAAAGCTTCTTGACAAGTAGCTGTAATACTACTACTACTACTACTACTACTACTACTAATAATAATAATAATAATAATAATAATAATAATATTCATAGTAGTATGGGAACCAGGTCATTAGTTATCATGTTACTTACTATTGTTTTGATTATGGTAATTGTTAGATTTAAATGTAACAATAATAATAATAATGATAATAATAATAGTCGTATAGTCAGTTATTCATTTCCTAGCAACATAAAGTACCTTTCATATACCTTAACTTTTCCATTGAGGATGGTTTTCTCACGTACTGACCGTAATCATATAATAATAATAATAATAATAATAATAATAATAATAATAATAATAATAATAATAATAATAATAATAATAATGGTTTGTACCCGATGATTGATTTACACATACATTTATGCATATTATTCATTGAACATACCCATTTGTTTTTCTTTATATTTTCTGCATAAAGATTAATTATTACTCTGTTATTAATGTGGTATAAAATGTAAACAGATTTTAAGTAAACAAAATGTCAAATATCCATAAAATTGACATCAATATTAGTTCTAATAATTAGTCAACAACAAAGAAGAATTAATGACAATGATGAAGGGATGATTGAAAATTCCGCTTTGAAAAAAATTTTCAAACCAAACAAAAAAAAACAACACAATTTATTCTGTCTAACAGTTGAATTCATGAGTCAATTAAGGCTAGACCATTATAGAAAACCTGAAAGTACTGGACGGCCTTTACGTCCTAGTACAGGACTCCTCAGCAGTGTTCATTCAAGATCCCGCCAAATGAGATTCGAATCCAGGACCTATCGTTCTTGCACGAGAACGTTTCATGGAAAAGTTAACGATAAAGTATTTCAAACTGATTTAGTTGACAAGAAATTTAGGATTAAAAAAAGGGTTATTATGATTCGAGCTGGAAACAGAAATGTTTTAGTCTGAATTTTTCAGAACCGAATTCAACAAAAGTAAAAGGCTGTGTTCATAAGAAATACGTAAAGTTATTTCGTTACGTGGATAAAGTTTCAAATAATCTATTATCTCACCTTTACCTTTTTCCCTAAATTGCAGTTAGGTGATTATTGATATGTCCCTATAGTTTACACTATGGACTGAACATAGTTAGAAAACCGTTAAATACCAGGGTTCGTTGAACAGCAATTTGAGGATTCTTTGGAGGTCTGTACTTATAACCCCATACAAGACTGATCTCCATACTCTTTGGTTTCGCAGCGAGCAGTTAACCTTCAAACCATTCGGTTGGTACCAAGTGGTTGGTTGAAGTTAGTTGTGTACATTTCTAGATGGTCTTAAAATTAAGCGCCTACTGTGAAACCTAAGGGTTTGGGTATAGTTCCTGATGGGGTTGTTGATGAACATTCTTAGTGAGTACCATACTAAAACGATGCAACTGTTCGGTGATTCATGATTTCCAACAATTGTATAATCAAGTTTACTTCATGATACGAATAATGAAATCAATTATCGATTAATATCACTGTTATCATTCTAATTAATTTCATCCTATAATGATTTCGTTAGGCACTTAATATTATTTTTACAGCTTCATTGTAATTCACAACGTCGTTATTTATCACAATAACAAATGATTGAAGTTGAACCCGGTTACGAACTGATCTTAGCTAGACCACCATTAAAAACCTGGAAGGATTGAACGGCCGTTTCGTCTTAATATGGGACTGTTTAACAGTAGGCGCCTACGACATCGCATAGTTTAAGACATAAATTAATATATAGGGTCATAACAAAAGTTGTAAAAAAATATTTCTACTCTCTACTGACCCCCTTCATTAAAGATTGTACATTAGATAATCAATAAACTGAACTATTAGACAGTGACAATTCCGCCTAGTACTGAACATTTTCTGACTTCCCACTTGTTTTTCAACTATACTACTTATTAACATGCAGTAGCTGATCACTAACAACAATTTTGAGACTCGTAAAGTTTGATGGTTCCCTGGTGTAATGTTCCGTTAACACTAAATATTTCGATTTTCATCCAATGTCTCAAACTATTTTCACTTTTATGCACGTTAGTTATTTAAAATTTGTTCATTCTGAGCAGCTTGCTTATTTTAAAGGGGTGGCGCTTAATTTAGTACGTTAATTGTTGGTATCTATTTGATACAGCTATATTGTTCCCTATTTTATGGCATGTTGTAATCTAATTCCTATTCATGTATTTGAAAGATTCACTTCCCTATTGACTATGGCTTTAATGTAGTTACCGATGTCTGGACACCTCACGACTTTATGTTTGTAAACTTTATTATTCATGTCTTTGTCTCTCATAATATCGTATCCCAGATTAATAGCGTCTTTTGATTTTGAAAATTCAGATGTATCTCAGTCGTAAGCTTAAAATTCCCTAAAAGATTCTTTGGATAGAATTATTTTCCTAAGATAACTTATGAATTAGTGATTTTCGTTCAAACTATATCAAAGCATAAAACCAAAGATAGAGACATGTTGATCAAGTGAATTGATTTCTTTCCTTACAAATAATAAACATGAATGAGTTTTCGAGAAGTTTAAAGAAACTGTGGTTTTTAAGCAAAATTTATTCTTTATCTATTAAACCGAATGAATAATTTGAAATGAAATCTAAGTATTGAATATGAGGGTCAACTGTTTTGGTTGAACTTCGGCATCAGGTATTTTTGGTTGTACAAAATCAGTTTTGTTATAAATCATTTTTTGAGAACTAATGTTGTAATACCTTTAGAGAATTAAGCTAGTTTATTGTACAAGACCTAGGCCCAGAGTTTATTATCGACTACCTCCAGCCATCGAATATAAGAAAATAGTGCACGTTATGTCGCGAGTCACTTAGAATAGTATCGTCATCGTAACTTGATCGATGGAGTTTCATCAGCAGTAAACAACTATAGGAACATAACAGCGGTCAGTACTCGTGGTCATATCGATTGTGAATATTCCTTAGAGAACAACTAAATCCAGCGTGTACTAGATGACAATGATCGACGCAATCAACTAAGTAAGTGGTAAAATGGTAGGTAACTGATATACCCCATTATCTGAAGCTAATGACTTGTGAGCTAGAAAATATAGACAATTGCATTTTAGCTTGAAAAATATTTAAAGGTATCATTTCCATTCTGAGACATAAACCCCCTCAGACTTGATCTCATATTCAGGCTACTGTGCCAAAATTATAAACAAACTTACAAACGCATAAATATATCTGCACCTCTGAAATCAATAAATTGAACAAATTATCATAAGTTAGTTTGAACAGTAGAAACAGAAAAAAACACACCAAAATTAAGGATGAAAAAATAGTCAGGATAAACTTTGTTTGCTACAGCGTAGAACAATGGTAAAAGAAATTGAGTGACGCGTAAAGTATAGATAAAAAAGAATGAAAGGGTTATGAAAGAATGATAACGAATAGCAAATATATCACGATTGTACAATAATAAGAAAAACAAATTCATGCATGAAAGCACATTTATATCATTACATGTTAAAATGATAGAAATATTGGATAATCTTTACAAATATAAAAACATACACACACAAGACGCAATACTACAAGATACAGAGGTCAAATGACCAACCGATTTTATCATCATTTATCTCATTCGAAAATTCATATAATCCATTGATTGAATACAGATTTATAGACTAAAGTTCAAAGAATACTCAGTAGATAATGATGACTTTAGCGGTTCACTATTTAACTGAATGCCTAGATATTGAATGAGAGATAGAGTCTGCGACAGTGAATATAAAGCAACAAATGAATAGGTCAACTATATGACTGAAGTTCTAATATTCTCTTTTGAATATATATTATCAAATCTGAAAAGGGAATTCACACATTTAATCCAATCTGAATGATTGTAAATAGAAAAATAGGTGTAATGATATTATTGTTAATTAGATTTGATGGGGAACAGTTTATATGACTTAATAATAACAATGAAAATAAGGATATAAATGATAATAAATACAACTATTATCCATTATTATATTCGTAACGACGATAATTGTGATGTAAATGAAGAATTTTGTAAAATTTGTTTAACATATGGTTTAAGATCAGTCCAAAATTGAAGGCACAAATATTGATAAGCTTCAATTAATGTAATAGATTTCAATCGTATAAGAAGAGAAGAAATTATAGAAGCTGTTGGATTTGTATTATCAACTGATTTATCTTGAGTAACAAAGGTATATTGTTTCAATTCTTTTGAACTACCCTCTTCCATATTTGTAATGTCCTCAGTTCTGGCACCGTCAGAAGATTCATTTGATGGTGCTAAACAACTTAATCTCTCTAAATTCAACAATCCAACTGAATGAGTACTAATCATCCATGCTTCAAGAATACAACATAGGCATTCTATAAAAGTGCATAGCCTAGATAAAATAAATCAACGTAAAACATTGATAATTAAACCATGAGAATACGTACTTTCGTTAAATACATTAAACTACTTTTAAATATGACAGTAGTATAAATTAATAAACAACATATTCATATGATCACACTATTATTAGTAACCGACTAACTTACTTTTTAAGTTGTACAATTTTTTCCTCAGCTAAATTTATTTTCTTCTTTTTCAATCTTACCATTATTGCATTTCTGAGTTCATTTAAAATTCCAGATAAACGTTTACAAAGAAAATCAGATGAACAAATATCATCATTATTAGGAATATCATGATGATTAGAACGTTGTGAACACCATGCTGGATGGTTGAAACAACATGATTCATTATTGAAGAAATTTATTTTTGATGTAGATATTAATTGAATAATAAAATTTAAGAATAATATCCATCCGTTAAGTTGAAATGATCGATCATCAATTCCATTCATATAGCTACATATTTAAAAAAAAAATTAAGGGAGATTAAAAATGTACAATGATCATTTGATAATAATCTGATGAAATGATTAATACATTATTGATTCTGAGAGTAATGTAACCAACTGACCAAGTACATGATCATATATATTCCATTTTGAAAGTTCGTACTAATCAACCTATCTTATTATTGTAATAATAATTCTTTAACATTTTTAATTGTCATTCTATGTGTTTATCGTACATTTGATTAATTGCCACAAATTCCATATTCAATATTATTTAGTTCTCGTTTCAACTGGTTGCTAGCTATTACTATCAAGTTGATACAGCTAAATATTGGTATTTAGTTTAATGTCAATAGTTAGTAAATTATTGTTACATAAACTATTGTAGTAATTAGTACTTCCACTTGGATTGTACTTAGGCATGCATAAATGCCTTATACATCACATGAATTGAGAGTCGTAAAATATACTGCAATAATAGTGACGAAAATAGCGTTTTATGGACAAATCTTTTGTTTTTGATTTAAGATTTTTGCGTAACTCAATCGTTTTGGTTCCAACCAATACCGCCCAGTTTCCAATCAGAGGCGTTACCAATGAGTTAATAGTCAGAATATGGACGAACAATTATGTAAAAAATACACGTCAACACTAACCAACCAATGAATAGTAATCAATGTGACGTTGTTCAGCACTTACGTTTGAAAAATAAAACACTGGTTACCACTCAGCAACTGATTACGCCTAAATAAATGATAGGGAGTGAAGTAGTTGATTGCTTCGACCATAACACCTATCTCAAAAGTTTCATAAATCCTAGATGGTTGGTTTTAGCAGGAAATAGATTGGATTAAAGCGTGTTACACATACGAGTATGTTGAAGCACACTGATGGGTCAATTCTTAGCCGCTCTAGAATCTTCTTGAGTAAAATTATAAATATACTAACATTTTTCTTACTATAAATTCACTCTAATTTAACTTAATTTACTTTGAAATATAATTACGTTTCTGTCTAAGCCGTGTTCTGATCTTGGGGACTAGCTGAGTTAGGCAGTGTCCGAAGAATACTAAATAATAAAGACAACTGGATCAGATAACCAAAGATTTAACAGTTGGTGTCTAAAAACAAACTTAGAATGAATTCAGAAAGTTAGGTTTGTTTTGGGCAACTGGCGCCACTTGTGCCAGAGGGGAGTTTACTGCTCAAAAGTCCGCTCTCATCTATTTTATAAGTATGAAGAATGGCGATTAAGAATAGAGTATATTCGTAGGTTACTAGTGTTCGATCATAAATATCTCCGAGCCACTGTTCATATATCTTGAAACTACTAAATGAGCAATCGAGAAGTTAGACACAGAATACTACGTGAAGATGGTTAATCGGTTGATGAGGTAGTAAATCATCATCTGGGATATATGTTAAGTATGCCTGACCGCTATGAACCTCGACAGCCAATGTTGACTAGTGTAAGAATTATCTGAAAGAAAGGAAGGTGTGGCCAAACCAAAATGTTGGACCAGTCTGCGAAGTCAGCCAGACTTAGACATATAGGTGGGTGTAGATAACGGGATTGGGATCCGCACGCAAATCACAACTAATAGTTTGAGATACTGGATAACATGGCTCAGAATTATCCACAATGGCGAAATTGTGTTCATCGTTTAACTCCGCCTATTTCTAGAACCTTAAATTTTGCTTATAACATATTGTTTATTTTCTTGCTACATCCAATATTTTCTATTATTACTGATAGTCTTACTGCTTCTACTATTCCGGGAAATAACTTGATACTTTTATCTTGCTGTGCCATTGGGGATCGGTAACTTGGGGTGATGGATATGTGTCAGGTTCTACACTGCATATGACTGACTAATGATCATTGATTGGTGTAAACGGTATACAAAATTGAGAATTAAGATTTCCATTGTTGATAACTATCAAAATAATCAAAAAGAATATGAACACAAATGAGAAATAAATCCTTTTCAATGATCTATTTAACGCTAATATTAGCTGAGAGGAGGGATATGTAAGCAGTACTAACATTTAGAAAATCACACAATTTGTATGGGTATGATCCTCGATGAAGCTGACTAACACAATCACAAAGTTATAATCATATTTTAGCTGACTGATTTCAAATAGGTTGAAGTGTACTTTCTAGGTTTTAACGCTAACCAATATGTAAAACTTTTTGACAAAAGAAAAGAAAATCCAGAAAAATAAGTAGTTCAATCGTTTCTGAAGTAAGATAAATATCCACTAATGTTACTAGTAACGATGGCTAGTGATACTAGTCAACTGCTCAAAATATAAAATAGATGAATATCATGGATAGAACTTTTGACGTATCGATTGGAAGAAGAGTGCTTTTATTGCATATCTAGTAGAACGAATTGAATATCAAGTACTCTATAGTTTTCAATGATTTGCTACTTAACATTAGTTGTTGATAAATAAATTTCTTTCTAAACTGATCACATTCAATTCCAAAAAGACATATGCATGTAATAAACAAACAATCGATAAACATGTAAACTTACTAAATTCCTATAGAATGTAGCCAATGCATACTATCAGCAATAATCATATTATGTTCTTCATGAATGATTGACAATGTACTATTATTCATCGACCGATATAAGTAATTTAATCGACATAATATGATAAATAGTAATGGTAAATGTAAACTATTCTGTATACACATAGATATAAATAAATCAGAATGTAGGAAATCTAATTTATTTTGTAAGAAATAAATATGTGAATAAATTTCACATATACCAAAGAAACGATCTTTTGGCGAAATTTCATTAGGAGCTGTATGAATGATTATTACAAAAAAGAAAAGAAGGTGAGAGATAAGATAAACTAAAACAAACATCATCATTTAGTGAATAAAACCCAGTTAAATTAGAATAATGATGCAACGAGAAGAAGAATGAAGAAGTAGTGATAAACAATGAAAGGTATCTCTTGGAATGTTATTTCACTGAACTGGAAATATATAAGTCAATATGATAGTTTTATTAGATAAATCATAAAATTTCGACTAATTTATAGACTATTGTCGTATTCACTTCCATTTCGAATTATTGTAATCTAAACGTATTTCTTGTATTTTATACTTTTTTGTACTCTACTGTCCTATTTTAGATATAATTCTAATTAGTATCAGAAGCGGTTTTTGTGGATATTATAGTAATTTCAACAGTTGAGATCATGAGTCCATTGAAGCTAGACTACCATGGAAAACCTGGAAGTACTGGATGACCGTTCCGTCCTATTGCGGAACTTCTCAGCAGTGCGCATCCACGCCCCCGCCTCGCGGGATTCGAACCCACGGCCTATCAGCCTTGCGCCAGGCGCTTAACCGACTAGACCACTGAGCCGGTATCCAACGGTCTTCATGTCTAACTTCAACTAATCCACGAAATTGAGCGACACATCCACCATCCTAATTTTCTGATTCCTTGTGAGTTATGGTCCTGTTAGTTAAATATTTTTGAGCGAGTTGAATCGGATAAATTGGGGTATAGAGTTTCAGTGCAATTGTCTACTCATTCTGCATACCAACCAATCAGGTTGTAAGTCAGTGGTAGAATAGTTTCTTTTCTCTCTGACATCATGGTAACAAGTCGAACTCATACGTTACAAGTGTCAAGGTTGGAATAGGTGATCTAACTCCTAAAGACTATAAACTGGTTGAATGTCATAATTTTTTAAATCAAATATTCTTGATTCATACAAACGTCTTATTCATTGCCTAAAAAACTGGGTGAAAATTTTAAGGGCATTTTCTAGTGTCTTCTATGGTTGACCGTATAGTATATAATTTTATCTACATTAGCAATGAAGACTGTAGTGTTGACAAGATGATAATTCATGTTTTCATTAATATTTAAGCTACGGTTAAGTAGTTGACCTAAGAGAACCAATAAACTAGTTGTAATGAGTTGAGGGCGTGTTTATCATAGACACAGTTAAATAGGTTTAGCAGATATTGGTGTCGGTCTAAGAGCTAGAGCTGAGGCAGCACTGATAGATTAGATCCCCATTAGTAGTCGGTTATACGCTGTTGGATTAGAAAGTTCCATCAAAGTAAGAAGAAATTAGTGTGAGAAACGATGTATTTCCATCATATTCGCCTACGATGGGCAGAGTTTTTCAAGAAGCAGTTTAACTGGTCTGCTGCTCCGGCAACATCGATCAGACTGTCCTACCCTCCATGGCCTGTGACGACTGATCAACCAGACGAGGCAGAATTCAAAGGAACTCTAACTCTAGAGCCGCCTAAAATCCGTCATAGTTTGTAGATTGTTCAAAATTCGAGGAAGATTGACTCTCGAGGAGCAGACTGGTTTTCATTTCGGCCGAGGATGGACTGATTACGGTTTCAGCCTTTGCTAAATGTTAGAACATCGTCATACTTATCACAGGCCAACAATAGTGCAGTTCTTGACATCTGGGTCAACTTTTATTAGTTGGACAGGACTTTTCTCTGGGGTTATCTATTGAAGGTGGGTGTGCCTGAGAAGTTTATTAACATCTTGAAAGCTCTATATGGAGACACCCCAGACAGAGTGAGGGCATACAACCACCCCTCCCCATTGTTTCACCCAAGCAGTTGGGTTAGGTAGGGTTTCCCAATCTCACCATTCCTCCCCGACTTTGCCATCGATGACACTCTGGAAACAGCTCTGATAGATATAGGTAATGGTGGTGTAGACCTGTTGCCTGGAGAAAGACTTCTTGACCTTGAGTGTGTGGATGATATTGTCTTACTGTGCGATAATACCCAACTCATGAAATCCGCACTTAATCAGTTGTCAGTCAGCGTTCGTAGCTATGACATGTGCTTTGCACCTTCGAAGTGTAAAGTACATTTCAAAACTGGCAGGAGGACCACGAGCATGTGCTTACCCCTTGCAGTGAGCAGAGAGAAGTAGTCGAGAAGTTCATGTATCTAGGTAGCTGCATAAGTGCTGGTGGTGGCGTGAGTGATGTGATCAATGCACGAATAGTGAAAGCTAGAGCGGCTTATACCAAGCTGGGGCATCTTTGGCGCCTTCGTGATGTTAGTCTGGCTGTAAAAGGTCGGATCTACAATGCGTCGGTGAGAGCAGTTTTGTACTATGCTTGTGAAACCTGGTCTCTCCGAGTTGAGGACGTTAGACGACTCTCTATGTTTGATCGTCGTTGTCTCCGAAGGATTGCTGACATCCGATGCCAACACCATGTTAGTAATGCAGAGGTTCGGCATCGTGTATTCGGGCACAGAGACGATAATTCAATTGGTGTCACCATTTTGAAACACCGACTTCGGTGGCTTGGATATGTTCTAGGAGTGTCGTCCCAGAGAATTCCACGTTGTGCATTATTTGCTGATGCTGGGACTGGTTGGAAGAAGCGGAGAGGTGGCCAGTGTATGACATAGTGTCATGGTATGAAAGAAAGCTGCAAAGGGTTGGCTTATGTTGTTCCTTCACAACTCCCTCCTTGGGATCTTAGAGATGGTGGAACATAGTGACTTGAGACATTAGAATAGAAACCAATGGCATTCCTCCTGTAACTTTCTTTTACGTTCTTTATAAAAAAATGAACGTAACTTCTTTAATGAAGAGGATTCTTTTTTATTGTAATTTTTCTTTAACTGAGCTGCCTCTCTCATTATTATTATTATTATTATTATTATTATTATTATTATTATTATTATTATTATTATTTTATTCTCATACACTAATTCTTGTTCATTGTTGTTTTCATTTTTCTTATATACACTTTATATTCTCTATCTTTTCACAGCCTTATTGTTATTGTGTAATGCATCTATGCTTGGTTCCCCGTTTCTACCAATATTTATATGTTCAAATAAATAAATTAATTAATTAATTAATTAATGAAAAGTAAATTACCATTATCAATAACAGACCAAATTGTTGCATTTAATAATTGTACAAATCGACTAGATGTTTCTTGATCTAATAATGAATTCATTGATAATAAACTATAAATTAATGGTTTTGATAAACATGCATTTATTGAATGTGGCATAATAGTAGTAATAATATTTGTATTACTATTCATTGATAGAATCATATTATTGTTATTATTATTATTATTATTATTATTATTATTATTATTATTGATTTGTGTATTAATAGTTAAATTATTTAATAACCAATAAATAATTGCATGAATAAAATAATCTGGTATTTTATAGATAAGATTATGATCTTGTTTATTATTATGGTTTAAAGGATAATGATGATGAGGATGATGAAGTTTGGAATTGTCCAATTTAGATAAAAATTCTACACGTGAACATGAACGATTTATTAATAAAATAATTTCATTACATAATTCGACAATTTGTTTAAATTCTTGTGAAGTGGATTTTTCTAAAGAGAATTATTAAAAAAAATCAAAATAGAAAGAAGTTAATCATAAACAAAAAAAAACATATATGTGTGTTATAATCAGAGAATATTCTAGTAATTTAATAATTGAATTCGTGAATCAATTGAAGCTAGACCACCATGGAAAACCTGGAAACACTGGACAGCCGTTTTGCCCTAGGGTGGGACTCCCCAGGAGTGCGCATCCACTGTTCCGCCTTGTGAGATACGAACCGAGGACTTATTAGTCTCTCGTGAGAGCGCTTAAGTTAAACATTAACACCGTTGGATGCCGGCTCAGTGGTTTAATGGTACAAAGTTTTATTCTCACGAGGCGGGATGGTATATGCGCAGTGCTGAGGAGTCCCATACTAGGACGAAACGGCTGCCCAGTGTTTCCAGGTTTTCAATAGTGGTTTAGTTTAAATCAACTCATGAATTTAACTGTTAAAATACCACAATCTTCACAAGTCCTCATACTATTAGTAATAACAATAATAATAATAATCAATATTTGTGAAAATATCTTAATAAAATTTAGAAAACAATTTATTATTATGCATTTCTGGAATCTGTTTGAACAACTAAAAGAAAAAGATATTGCTAATTATAGTATCGTTTTTAATGTTTCTAAGGCATTAGAAACTATAAATATCCTGTATTTTTCTTTACATACATGGACTAACTTTGGAAATGAAATGTCTTGAGAATTTCTCTTTTGTGATTTTAGTTATAGTGTCAAATATCAAGTACTATGGTAGTCTAGAAATTGGCTAAGAAGTTAATATTTTAAGCTTTTGCATTATAAATCTACTTAAATACAAATATGTAATTATAAGTGAAAATTTTCAGCACAAACTTATTGACATATTGAAGAATCGATTTTGCTCATCCTTCCTACATTCTGTTTATCTTACCAATGTCCATCTCACAAGTCATCACATATTCACTGTGTTCACCAAGAGAACATATGTGGTCGGAAAACTCGAGTTCTGTCACACCGTCAATTTCGTCAAGCGATTGACATATTGAAGAACTGATCGCATCATATGAGAACTGAATAGTTACATTATTTCAGTATGAAAATTATCAGTTAAATAATAATAATAATCACATATGTAATCTATTGGCTAGTTTAGATATGGATTTAATTTTTCAAAGTTCTAATAACGAGTTGTAACTTATCAAGTTAATCAGGTCAGGAAGGATAAGATAACTATTGCACTGTACAGTAAGCTAAGTGAAATTGAGTGAACGAATGATATTTTATTTTTTCCAAGTTCTAAAGGCGCTAGATTTAATCTCCTACAGATTCATAAATATATAATCATGTTAAACAAAGATGAACCAGTTATCCAGTGATTTTTAAAGTTGGACAGTGGAATACGGGATGTGCATTTCATTCCATTTCCAACACATCAGCCGGATGTAACTGTCACATCTCAGTATTGATATTCACACTGAGACTCGAACCTTTCAATTCAACTACTAAGTCTACACCATAAAATGGTTACATCAAGGCAATCCGCGTACAATGCGCATGCACTAACTAAGGTTGGTCGAAATTTAGTCAAGTTTCTTAACGGAATAGTACAAGTCCTTTCTAATAATAGTAAAAGTAACTAAATATTTTGGCGCATCGTACCACATGTTGATTCACTGCATGGAATCAACAACAATCCATGTTTTGTTAAGGTTTCTTGTTTGCTGTAATCTATCAGAAAAGTATCTTTGCAACTTCGAGGACACTAATAGGTTCCATCGAAGAAGCCTGGTAGTGAAACCTATGATAGTAAACACAAAGTGATGTAGATAACGTCTTGTACAGGAATATCAGTTATTTCTTACAATAAACTTCAATGAATTATTAGGCTTTCTGATCAATTTTATTCCAGGATCTAAAATATTATTTATAAATAATGAATAAAATCAACTTACGCCATCCAATTTGACCTGATACAGATTCTAATTCAGATAACAAATTACATATACGTAACCAGGTTAAGATTTTAACAGTTTGTGAAGAATGTAGTTGGGATTTTGTTAGTGAATCATTATCTGTAGAAGTTGGTGATGATAAAATTGTTGTTACCGATGAACTGGTACTAAGATTTAAATTATTAGTTAAATTAAGCATTATTGATGACATTCTATTCCAAACAACTGAGAATATTGATGAATCAGTTCTTGATGTTGATGATAAAGGTAATGATGATGATGATGATGATAGCATATGAGTTTTGATGAATGAACTCAAAAAATTATCTAACATAAGTAAATCGTCTAATTCATTCGATGGTAAAGGTTTATCACATAATATAGAATATCCTAAAAGACTGGTGATTTTACGTAAATAAGCTGAACGTTTCGAATGTAATGAAATATTCACATTGGATGATTTATAATCATTTGATGACAAATTATGAATATTTGGATAAAGTCCAGTTGTTGATGATTTGATTGTAAATGAAGAATTTTGTGTGAAAGTGAATAGATCTGAAGATTTGGAAATCATACCTCCAGCTGCCGCTAACAAACTATCCATTTATATCAATTTTTATGGAAAGAAAATGAGAAGAAAGTTTAAATGGTGATTTTCTTTCTTGAAAAAGGAATTTGTTGCATTTGTTGCAACGGAAAATTGATAAAAGCTGAATTCAGATTACATAGATTTAGATTACTATTTTAGTAATATCTGCAACAACAAATTACGTATAATTTTAATACAGACTACTAATTTAAAGAAGCGCATTAAGTTGAGGAGAATTATATATTTAGTTCAGGGATGATAAAGCTACGTTACAAACAAGTGACCTACTAATGGAAATAACATTCTCGTCTACTGAGTTCTCGGGTATTGATCTCCTACCCGGAAGGTCAACTTATCGACTTAGAATACGCAGATGACATAGTCCTGTTTGGTAAAGACGCTGATAAAGTGCAGAGTCTTCTGGTAGCACTAAGAAACAATGCCAGAATGTTTGGAATGCGCTTCCTTTCCCTCTAAATGCAAGCTGCTGCTTCAGGACTGGTCTGAGTCAACACCTGAACTAAGGATAGGGAGTGAAGCAGTCGAACGCGTTGACAACTTCACTTATCTTGGAAGTCTGATCAGCCCTAATGGGTTGGTGTCTAACGAAATCTCAGCACACATTCGAAAAGCTCGTTTGGCTTTTGCGAAGGCGAAGACGAGATATCCGTCTATCAATTAAAGGACGAGTATACTGCGCGGCAGTCCGTTCTGTTTTAATTTACTGCAGCGAAACATGGCCATTAAGAGTAGAAGACACCCGTAAGCTACTAGTATTCGACCACAGGTGCTTTAGAAATATTGCTAGCATCTGCTGGGTAGGTAATAGTGAGGTTAGACTCAGGGTATTACGGAATGACGGTAAATCAATTGATGAGGTTATGAATCTTCATCGACTGAGATGGTTGGGCCACGTGTTACGTATGCCCGAACACCGATTACCACGACGTGCAATGCTAACCGGTGTTCAGGATGGTTGGAAGAAAGTTAGGGGTGGCCAAACCAAAACGTGGCATCAGTGCTTGAAGTCACTAACTTCTGGTATGAGCCATGTTGGTAGATGCAGACTACTTGGTTGGAGTCAGCGCGACTATCGTAACCAATAATGGAAGACTGTGTGACACGGCTCAGAATCGATCACAATGGCGTCGGTGTATACACTCTCTGTCTTCTCTTAAACTAAGAGATTAAAATCGCTTCAAATCTTACTACGAACTAATTCTTTCTTCCTGTACTATGTCCTTATATGCAATCTTCCTTCTATATATTACCACCTCTGAATTAACTACATTTATGAATCCGGTGTCCATCTTGTTGTGTTGATGCGGTATGGCAACTTGGATCGATGCATATATGTGCCTGGTCCTACGTTGTAGCTGACTGACTGAATGAATTTCATATGGTTAGCTAAGTCTATGAAACGGAGTAGGTGGTTATGATATTTATATATTCAAATTGTGTTACTTATAAGTAGCTAGCATTTTATTGTAAAATTTCATGTTCGCATTTTATTGGTTTGTATAATTAAAAAAAATTGTATTGACCATATTTAGTCATGTTTGTGCTAAGTGTTGACTGTTATTTCTAGTTTTATTACAAACAAACCAAATTTTTGGAATAAACTGATTATTATTACTTATTGTAGGAGAAATTATAAACAAATTAGTGTGCGACTATTCTAATCAAATGATGATGTAAAGCGAAAAAGAAAAGGAGAATAAATAAATAAACTTACCCAAATAAACGTCCTTCCATAGTTGTCGGCGGCATAAGTACATAGTAAGCTGGTATACGTTGTTCAGTTAAATACGATAGAATAAATACATAACACGACTCACTAACTATGGATAAATCTAATGAACTTTGAATATTTTCCATGATAATTTTCAGTTGAGTTTTTATCTATTACAAGAATTAACAGAAAATGATTTATATTGAATGAATCAAATGAAATGTTAAGGTTCACTAAACAAAAACTAGAAGGTATATATATATTTCTCATAAGTACGCTTAAGGATTTTACATAATATTTGTAAATTATGAATAAATGTTTCATGTGGATACGTAAGTTTATTCAACCATTTTAGTGTTTATAACGTGATTCCTATTGAACATTACCCATTCACAGCTAAAAGTTGTAATTTATAGTAGTAGAAGTTATCTCTGGACATAAACGATTTTGTTGGTTAAATATAGACACAGGATCGGATTGATGTTTTTTCCTTGCTGTGTCGAAATTATCAGTAGGACAATTTTAGATAAATAAAACTCACAACGAGCCAAATAGGTGTGATTGTTGTTCAATAACCACTACTCATAATATCATTAGTTAATAGTATATTTTATAATAATAATAATGGCTTTATTCAATATTATATTTTTGGTACAATATCGAATTCTCAGCAAAAAGCATTCCAATAAGTTTGCTTTTCTTATTTCTTGACCGATCCTGACAATAAATACTGAGTGATCACCATTTAGGTGTTAACAATCCAGGAATAAACAACTGAATAATTTCCGTTATTTGTAATGCATATTCTCAGCCGCCAAGATGTCTCTAATTGTACTGGTTTGTAACTTGTACAGCGAAAGGTCACAAACTTTTCATAAACGCGCCTGAATGAGTTATGCGATTAATAGACATAATGGTGTGTTAAAACAAACAAAAACAGATAACTTGTTGAAATATCTAGATGGCAAGAACAGCTAGCCCAGATATTCAAGAAGACTGCCGGTATGTTTTAAGGCATTCAAATGAAAGAGTTTTTAACCTCAAATTAGCCATTACTAGATACAAATGTATTGTCTGCCTTTACTAAATTGTCGGTTTACTTTTCTTATTGTTCTATTTGCTTCTACATTCTATCAACTACTATTCTTCATATTTCCCTAACACACAAGATACCTTCAGGTTAGACGTTAATCTATCAAACGCTGAACGTTACAATTATAAGATTCAAAAATAAATTGAATAATTACATAATAAAGTACCAGTTTATCCGTCTAAGAAAACATTAATCTATTTTTGAATATTCATGAACAGGTTTAGATAATAGGTTATGAACAATACCTTTACAGTGATAAAAGTACACATATACAACACGGTGAGATTTGAGAATTTCAACCACTGTTTTCACACAGTAAATAAAGTCCAGTGAGTTTGCCTAAGCTAATCTACATGCACTAGACTGACTTCATAAATTAAAGCTGTTTGTTGTATCACAGCTAACGATATCACGGGTTATTTAAGATTCAGTAGAAGGATTTACTAGTAATTTCGAGAGGTAATTCCCAGAGCTTTAGTAAGAATCGGTAACCAGTGAGGGTTCAACAATGTTGGGTGTAAGGAAGTTACCCATTGAAGGCAATGTAAGATGGTTGTATAATATCGGAAATTGATTGACGTTACGCATATAAACCAATGGAATGACATTTTAGTGGTTAAAAGACTAAGCACTCGCTGAGAGACCTGAAGGCACTGGGTTCAACCTCCGATGGGGTTTTGGATGTGTTCTGCTAAGGAGTCCCAATTTAGGATGAAACAGCTATTCAGTACTTCTTGGTTATCAATGGTTATCTAATTAAGGTCAGTTAGTGGTTTAAACTATAAAATAAGTTTTTATGGAAACATCTAATGAAAAAAGAATAATTTAATTAAATAAATTTATCAACGTGAATATAACACCTACATCTTTGTTAATATCATTTGTCTGTAAGTTAGGAGCAATTAATACAATTAAAAATGTTAATGAATTAACATATGCTTCGTCCATTTTAATCATAGAATTTTCCAAATGTAATGTATTCGATTGGCTAATGAGCCAGGGACGTTGTGCTGGTACATTAATTGATTGATTACTACTTGAGCTATTCTGATCGAACCACCACTGAACATTAGAAAGTAGGTAGACCAGAAAATTTGATGCCAATTCTTTAATTGATTGACGATTGACAAAATTATCACAGTTCAAAAGTAGCTGGGTATAAGTACAAAAGAAGGGGAGGGAGTACGAGAATAAAGCGAAATTAATGATATGATTTAAAACATATAAAGGGAGCTATTTACTAGTCTTTACAAACAGAAGGCATGCGTTTGTATATAATGTGATGATTACATGACGATCAATGTGCATTGACGTAATATACAGCCGAGTGAAAATTACCGATGAAAACTAAATTGACGACACGAAACTTCCAGGACAAATAGACACAAAAAGGAGGAAGTACTTTTTTTTCTCTTCATATTACAGAATAACAAGGAAGAAATCACATGACACTCTTGTCAAAAAGTTTAATTAAAAAACTAGTATGGATAACCAAAAGTTTATTGGCACAAATACGCAATGGAATGAAATTACTTACAACATTATGTATGACACACAATGAGTACAGTCTACATTCTCTTAGTAGCCAACCATAGATTAAATTACGCAGCTTTATTACTTTACTAAACATAACACTTAACATAGAAACAGATATGATTAAAGATCATTAGCATAGATGTATCTATTTTCTAAAAAGTACTAAGACCTTAACGTGTGTAGTGCTTAGCAAAGAAACATTCGATGGCACATTGAATAAACATAATTTTCATTAAGAAATGATATCAGCTGATGATCTACTAGAAACCAAGGCAGGATTGAGTCGTTATTCTATTCTAATCTAGAGCTATGACGCGCTCACAATGAAGCGCGAGATCCAATCTAGAACCACTGGAATCTCACTGCGAGTACTATATCATTAAACTAACGAATCGAAATAAAATGATCGTCATTTTCAACTATAATTGTAATTCAACTTATTTAGATTCAGTGGCATAAACGTATCCTACTGACCATGAAATATATTTATTTCGAATCCGTGGAATCATCGGTGTCTACACTGTTAAAGAGTTTAAAACCAGGAGTAAACAGCCACTGACAGTTTTTAATGGTTTTACAGCTAATGTTAGTTCGTTATAAGTTACCTTTAAAATATGTGAGGAAACATATAAGACCACTTCATCAAAAAAAATTACCAAATACTGGGAATGAAATGTATGAATACGAAAATTTAATATTTAGATGAAGAAAAATAGTGCATATATAAAAATTGTTGGGATCAATTTCGATTCACACCACTTAGAATATTCAACCACCGACTGTCTCATTGCAAAGCTCATTTTGTTATGATGTGCAATTAATGTCCTGCAATTATTATTACCCTATCAATGAGAGATAATTCGAAATTTTGAAATCAAATACTGATCAGATCAAAAAGAAACTATATACGCAAAGTTACCATGATCATTGAATCTAAACAGTCTAAATTTGGCTTCCATATATATGAATTCAATGACAAACACCATTTAGATAGCATTAATTCCTTCTCATCATTATTTTGAATAAAATCACCACTGTCATCATCCTGTTCTTTCTGATTGATGGACAAATAAAGTAGAAGAGGTAATGAAATTTTACGTATATCTTGTTTACATAAATTGGTGGTAGTAGACGATGTGGAAGTAACTGGTACCATCTTTAAATTATCGCCGAAATTATTTAATATGCATGTTGTTGAAGTGAACCATATTACAAATAAATTGATTAATTGATTTGACCAAATTGGATTATCATCAGTTGGGCAAACTATATTTAGTTATCAGAAAAAAAAGAAGCAAAACGAAAGGGAAATATCAAGATAAAATACAATTTAAAGTGAACGTATGAATAGGATGGAATGAAACCAGTGTGGATAAACCAATACACGAATTCTATAAGCAAAGATGGATGGTGGTTAACAGTGAGATTTAGGACGCGCGCTTCATCCTATTTGGATTCATCAGCATCCCAGAGTTAGCGTTCACTCCGGGACACATGCCAATAAGAGACTGATCAACTGCAGTCTTAAACATCAACGAGAAGATTCGAACAAACAATACAAAATGAATTTAAATACATAAATTAATTATTTAACAGTTTAATATTAACCAAGCGCTTAAACCAAAGCAAGTGCTCTTTTAAAGAACTTAATTCATCCGAACCCGTTACATGAGGACAGAATTTACGATACAATGGATCATTCTGTTAATGGTCTCAAAATGGAGTATCATTAGATAACTTCTCAAGGTGGCAGGTAGTCGAAATATAATATACTCTATATTGATGTGGATAATTTACCAAGTGTTAGCTTCTATAATAGGCTTTGAGTCACATGTTTTGTGTGAGGGCTAAGTACACTTACGACCCGGATGCTCAAACCGAAGTAGATGAGACGGAATCGGAAACTTAGACATATTATTTAGAAACCAGTTGGCTTAAACACTAGGTCACTTCGTTCTTTTAGCATATTAAAGCCTAGATACACAATCTAAAATTTTACCTGATGAACACTCTGTAAATGTTAATCCAATTTTAGCTTAAAATATCAAACTTTCCTCTCTCACTTTTATGAAAGTATCCTTGTCTTGTGAAGACGATGGGTACGAATTCTGTGGAAAAGGCTATAAAAGGACGATGGCAGCAAATTATTACAAGAAAACTTCCCAGAGTTTCAGGTGTGACAGGGCGTTAGGGAGTGTTTTTTTTATTAAATTGATAACAAAGCACATGTCCATACACTAGACCTTCAATCATACATTTGTTTACAAGGGATAGTGATAATGTTTGGCTGCAAAAATCTAACTGTAACAGCATTTGAGATTGCATCCCGATAGTTGAATCTCTAGTGCTTTAGAAAATGAAGGATGAGAGTAAACTATGATTCCCGACGTCTACTTACCTTTAATAGCAGAATTAAGACATTCAGAGAATCCTTTCAAACAACATTTTGCATACACAATAAAAGATGATGATGATGATAATTGATATGACGTTTGTATTGTTGTAGATGACGATGAAGTTGTACTTGATTCAGTGGGATTATTCACTTTGCCATTATAATACAATGTTATACATTTTTGTAGAATACAACCAAAAACTTGTATTAACATGTCTATAATGATTGATTGACCTATTGTTTACGAGAGAAAAAGATATAAATTTCAAGATAACAATAAATATTTAGGGTTATTTGGTAAAAATATACTCGCTGTGATTCAAAGTTTTACTCTACGTTTTACCATTTGAGAGAAGATAAAAGTAGATTATTGGTATTTGATCGTAAGAATCGCCAAAGTGTTTCTCACAAATGGTGGTACCATAAAGTGAGTAATGATACTGTTGGAGATGTCTTGTAATAAGTAAAGGTGAACGACTTCGATGTACAATTTTGGTTGGTTAGTGTAGAACTAGATTGGAAAAAAGTTAAAGGCGTCAGAACCACTATGAAACATCAGTTTGTGAAGTGATCGGCTTTTGGAAGGTGTAAAATACCATACTGTTCCATCAACTAGGCTGTATACATAAGAAGTAATTTTTCTTCAGTGTAATTCATTATTCACTTGTAAATTGTACGAAACTATCAGAAAATTAACTTCCTCAGTTTTATTAATTGGCCAAAGAATGTTAGTAAAGAAATGAAAAAATTCATCGTAAAAACATGGTCGTCGACATATTTCATGATTATTAGGAGAAAATCGGTATTTTATTGGTAATTTGAATAAGTATTATTCAATACTGTGGTTGACAAATATAGGTTATTACTGAGTTATCAGTATCCAATTCATCTGACTATGATAAATTAAGTAATTCACACGAGTTTGCCTACTGGTATACCTTAATGTATATATCAATTGGCCGATTTTAAGCTGATAACTTATTTTCAATTGAGAGTCATTCTGAAGAATCATTTTATGAAAAATGAACAATCAACTTACCATTTTGTATAGATAAATGATTATGTAATATGCAACATCCGATTTTTTCACACAATTGACAAGCTAGTATCATTAGAAAATGAATAATCATTTGTATAGTTTGAGACGAGTTATTTTGTAACATTGAACAACATTCATCGATTAAAACGTTTTGTGTATCACGTAATGGTGATAAAGATGTCACTGGTGAAGAATTAACAGTCGAGGTCAATCGCCTGTGTACATGATTGAGTAATTGAGTCAACTGTAAATAGAAGCAAAACACGAGCAAAGTGAGCGCAAATGTGTGTAACAGATACAAACAAAATGACGAAAAATAAATAGAGATAATGAATCTTATCCAGTTTCTTGTAAGCTTAAACATGTTATAAATAATTGAGCACAGACAGACCGATGACACCATTACGAGACATTTCGCATCCAATGTGTAACACTTAAAGCTAGGTGTGTGAATCTGTACTTGATAAGAGAGTCTTATTAGCAGTCGTGGGAATCGCAGCGGTTCCTGTTTCCCAGTGTAAGCCATAGGATTACGGATACAACAAAGACAACACTTAAATGACAGAGACTCTACCACAGACATAACGTAAACGAACTAATGTAGATGGTACGACATTCAAGTTAGGAATAAACTAACTAAACTATAGAAATATGTATCAAAATAAGTTTGTGTAAAACTTACTTGTTCAATGGACAGACTTGTAGAGCCAGAATTAGTGCTTATATCAGCGATCAGTAAATCTTGAAACAATATCCATATGTCGAGATATTTAGGGTTACTAAGGTCTGCCAAAAGAGAACATGGAAATTAGTTTACATTTAACTAATAAGATAACTTTATTGCAACAAACAATGAGCTAAATAACAGACCGTAATACTGATAATGTTAACGCTATATTTGATAGCCGACAAACAACTTAGTGTATGATACTATTGATCGAGATTTTAGTATGTAAACAACAACAGACAATCCAAAACAGTTATAAATAGTACACATTCTATAAAATTCCAAATGGTCTTTAGGTACATTAATATCAAACATTGACAAGAAGTGTCAAACTTTAGTTTTAGATGAAATGACTAGTTGGCTATGCATACATAAGGTTATGATATACCAAGCTTAAGTAGTTACTTACCACTCGGAGCGGAAAGATAGGTTTGTGTGGATACAATAAAAATCAATTGTATTTTTCCTGTGTTCTGAAAATCGATCAAACCCAGTTAGATATGTCAGTAACATGTGTTGAGTGACATTTTTAACGATTGAAGTGAAAGATTTTTACGTCTGATCCCAACGCTAATAAACATTACGGAGAGCGATAACTAATCGCGTTTTAATTATTTGGTTCATTTATGTAGGAGATACCATAGCGAGAGAACGATACAGATAACTGTTCCTTCATCAGAACCTTAAATTCTTGCAGGAGGGTACAACTCATTGTAACAGAATGATTCTACTTCCAAAAATGTTTGCACTGGACTAAGATCGTTGATTTTGGGCTCACCTGTGATCAGATCTAAGGATCCTAAGTTCAGTATATAGTCGAAAATCTTAAGCTAAAATGAAAATATATTTTGCCCTCAGATCCTAGAAAATTCTTTACCTACCTCGATGTGAGATGCTGGCCGAGTAGGAATAGGTTAGAGGAAAGATAGAAGTGGTCGGAAAAAGACGTGGTATTAGTCCATGAAGTCATCGACTGTTAGAGTAAACCAAGCTGGTAAGTATAGAGTACCTGGTTGGGGTTCGTATGATAATCGCGATCAGAGCTTGGAGATGCTGAGTAACATGGTTCATAATTAATCCAAATGGAGCAGATGGATTCACTTCTTTTCCACCTCTGTATTGAGTTGTAAAATTATTTAGTATTTTCTATTCCTTCAATGCATCCCTTCTTTTATAGCCATATTGTACAATGTTTGGCCTTTCGTACTACTACTGATATTATTATTTCTACTCAATTGTCATTGAGTTTGTTAATTTTATCTTGCTATGAAAAGGTGGTATGATAACTTGGACTGACGTATATTTCTGCTGAGGTTTATATTGATAAAAGTTGACTGAATACATGGTTACCCTATATCAAATCAAGGTGGAAGTAAGTCCAAAATCGGTGGATCTATGAAAGTTTCAGGACTGTGTACTAGTGTCAAAAGTTATTTCAGATTCACTTACTTTGTAACAATAATCTGAATGCTAGATCAAACATATCCGGAAAGTGGTTTGTTAACAATGCTTTCAAATGTACAATACAAAGCTGGAGGATAAATGGGATAGATAATAAGAGAATAGTTAGATGGCATTTAAAGATTAATTTAATATCAAAAGTTTATCATGAATTTAAGTCAACCGGGAAACTACTGGAAACAAGGGAGGACTAGGAGTTATTTTATTCCCAAGACTCTGACAGAGATGCTACTTAGGACCTCCAGAATTCGAAATGAAAGTTTTATATTTAGGCATTGTTTTGAAGTGCAGTAAGTCCTTATTCTAACGTGAATTTTTAGTGAACACAAGATTGTTGGAAATGTAGATTATCCAATTGTCTGAGAGATCTAAGGTTAAAATGCTTATTGTGAGACCTAAAGGTAGTGAAGTGCATACCATATTTGCGGGGTGGTGGTTAGATACTACTAAGGAACCAGAAACTACAACTAAACAAATGAATAGAACTTCTTGATTGTCAATTATTCATCAGCTGACGTCAGCCTGTGACGATAACTCCTCCAAATAACTATAGATAGAAGAAAAACAAATGATCATACATATTTATATATTGTTGTATTCTAAGCCTCATAAAACTTCACTTGATCAAACTGCCAATCAAACACCAACTTAAATGACCTTGGCACTATGCCAAACCAATGACGTGTTAACCAGCACGAGCAGCCTAGAGTCAACTCTGAGTCCGTATTGGTTCTTCTTGCCTAGCCCCTTCCGTTTGAGTCCAGAACACAATCTCAGATTCTACTTTGTGAATAATGTATTTCAGACATACACAGTTTAAATACAAGCAAATCAGATAGCATCATACCATAAAGTAGAAAATAACAGTTATACAAGATCAGGCCAAAAGTGACTGTCAGTGTGAGAGACTAATTAATAAATTGGGAATACTTTATGGATAGCAAATCATATAATAGTAGCCAATAGGTCAAATGAAAACTCATAATAAGAGAAATATAAATATATATAATCTAGTTACTTAATAGTTATATTATATATAACAGTCCATAAATAGTCCCCAGAAGTTACCCATAATTTAATATTCCTCAGACACAACGCATATTTAATTTATTCAGAGAAACTAACGAATAGCTGTTTAATTCTACTACTCAGCTAAGTGTAGTAGCTTCCAAGATAATATAAATTCTTGCTAGTGTAGTGGCTAATACACCGAGTTCTCGGATGCCAAGTTCCAGGTTTTAGAAATGGATCTAGATCATTGGGTTTGGGAAACCAGGAAGTATCAAAGTTTCAGGCAAGAAGTGCCCGCAGCAAATACAACCTTAGGGCTTCTCGTGGCGCTCCCAGGGTCATGGAGGCCCAACCTCATGAATTAACTTGAGCGGTTGACTGAGGACGGAATGATCCACCATTAGGTTGTAACCTGGATTACTCGAAGACTATACTTTGAAGCTGTGGAGTTGTGAAACAGGCTGCCGTTTGTGTATGCTAATGTGTATGAAATGTATGAGTTTCGACTAGTGTACTTTGTATGTATAGGTAATGTGCAAGAGGTATGTACCGGGTTAGCCGAACTTGAATGAGTTAAAAATAGACATTTTGTGGAGGGATGATCATCAAGCCGTGTAAGAGGGCAAAAGAGGATTCTATCTTCTCAATCTAGTCTTCCAGGAAACCGTCAAAACCACCATAGATGAGAATATTGGATCACAAGTAAATGACAAAGATAAAACAAAATGAAGACCATCATATATCGAATGCGCTGATGATCTTTATTTGATCACGACAAATACCAAAGGTACCTCCAAACAAACTTAATGCCTGGACTTTAGTCTGGTATCACATGTGGTTACGATGGAGTGCATAGGTCTCTGATTTGTGTATCTAATACACGCATATTTGGAATGCTTGCATCTATGCCTATGTGTGTCATACGGGGAAGCATCAGTGTATATGTGTATGCGTCCTATACATCTATACCCTATGTAAATGTATAGATGTGTCATATGTGTGTATTCGTGTTTTACTTGTACGGTCGGTCATATATACATATAGATACGCAATTATACTACTCCATATATTTAGTCTCAAAATCAAGTATATAAATATTCTTGATAAATAAATTAGAGTGAGACTGTCTTGTATAAACGATTTTTGAATGTTGTTAGATCTTCGAAAATTCATCAAGTAAATGCAAATACGTTAAGATGTTTTATTGACAAGGAGACAAGACTGATAAAAGTTATTAAATTTTGTACACTCCTAAACATCTAAGTTTGTACAAAGCACCGCATTTATTGCTTTACTGCAAAACTGGTCGATAGAGGTCAGTAAAGACATCAGTGGTGTGAACATGATATACATCATTGCTAAATAAACGATTAATGTTGCAGAAGGTCAACTAGTTTATTGGTAGCAGATTTGATTGAGATACTAAATGTTGCTGGTTTGATGAATTTTTGAGGTGAGAACTAGTCTTCACAAGATTGTTGATACTCCCTGATGTGCACTAACCAACATAAGAACGTAGACATTCAAAATTTCGTGACGATCTTACATTAATACAAGACAAAGTTAGTGTGCTGAACAGTTAGAAATCATTAGAAAGCGATTTTTAAAAAAATAAAATAAAACCTACATACCTTATGCAAGTCATCATTTTCTTCTGAACGAGTGGAATTTATGTCTGATGGATAAACATTGGTTGTCTCTTCAATACAAGTGAATAAAGCAAGTATTAACTGATTCCATTGTTTTTGACTAAAATGTTTAATTTCAATTGAAAACCATGCTTTGAAATTAATCTACAAATAAATATATATAAAGCACCTATTTTTCATGAACACAAATTGGATACAAGTAAAGAGACTATGAAAACATTGTACTTGTCATTTAGTTATTATGACCATGAAATTCTTTGGTATGGATATGATTTTTATGAAATTTTCTACGGAAAACATTGTAATTACTGTTTTTAAGTGGTTTTGCATATCGTTCATAAAGCTGTCGTATGTTGACATAGAACCAATCAATACAGAAGTTTTTTTTTTCATAAAAATTGGAAACTTTTAATTCCACACCATGAGTGCAGATCTGCTTCACAATCAAAGTGAATATACTTCCAGAATATTATGAAAAGCATGTAAATGATTAATTAATTTGCTGTCTATGAGAATAACACTAGACATTGAGAGGGGAGGAAGACAGTGCACAAAAAGGCAGACAATACAATGTTAAGTACAAAAGAAGGTAAACGATGAAGTGAAACTAGTTGATCTGTCGAAGACTAATCAATATGAAGAAGTTCTCATATTGCCAAAATGGTTAGTAAAACTCACGTCCTACATGCAGAAATTTGATAAATCTATCCCGAAACTAATCACTATAAACAGAATAGGATTATAATTTTGACTGAGTGGAGTTGGAAATATGAACTACCGAGTCATAATTCAGTAGTTTAATAATATAATATTCACCAAGAGACTCAAACGGGCGAGACTCATTTACAGACGAATTATTATTTTATTTATTTAAACACATAAACATTGGTACAAGGAGGCACTAAATAGATCATTCGATTTGTGTAAGAGCTGGAATACTGCCCGGGTGACCAGAAAGAAACAGGTGGTTTTCTTAGGGGACCACACCCGGAGCCTTTGACCTGAAGGTCTGATCCATAAGGCAATGGAGCATCATGAGGAGATGTAGTCCCATGGTAGCCGGTGACCAACGATTGGTTCATACGCCATTTGTTCCCTCAGGATCCTGAAGCCAGCCCATGTGCACCATTGGTTCGGAATCACGGTTTTTCAACTCCCCTAGGTGGACTCTCCGTGTCCACCAACCCGGTTAAAGCGCCGGGCATTCGCTTTTCGTCCCCTCAATTTCGTAAACGACAATAATGCCGTAAGAATGCAGTGAGTAGGACTTCCCTGGCAGTGGTTGTATGCACGTGGCCATGTGAGAGCATTTAGAGAGGGAGACCCGACTCTCCCCACTCTCGGCCGTACCAGGGCACTTGGGGGCTATAAACGAATTAATCAGATTTAGAATAATAGGTCTTGGATCTTGGTGCGAAATTCATCCGTCTATTTGGCTGAATAACATTTTTGCATTACAACTGATGTCAGTTCGTGATAAAAACCCAGAATCTAACTCCTAACTCTAACGTCCATCTGTAAATCATAATCCTGATTTCTCACACTAACTTATAGCCCTTTTTTAACTATCGTAGGTGGGATTCTCAAGGTCAGTGTAGTATTGCTCAAAGGTTATCCATAAATTATGGTTTTACCACTTAAAAGTTATCTTATTGGATCGTGTGTATAATCGTAGGCAGGCACCATTGAAAAGTTTTATTGATTAGTATGTAACTACTGTTTACCATCTCATCTCCAATGTATGATGAAAATTAGCATTAAGCAAAGACAAAAGACTTCTCCAATAATAAAATGATCTTTAATAAGAAAAAAAACTTACTTTTTCCAGAATACATAAAGCAGTTTGTGCATTACATCGAAATCTTATATCCATTAAACGTTGATAAATAGGTAGTAATGGATGCTGTTGACTTTGATTATTTATATATAATGATGATAATGACGATGGATTCGGTGGTATAAATGTTGATGATAATAAATTTGATAAATGTGGCAATGCAACTAACATATCCAACAATAATTGATGCTGAGTTGATAAATTTGTTAAAAACTCACTTGCTATAAATATTATGAAAAGAATAAATAGTTAAATAAAATAAAAAAGGATAATAATCTAGGTCAATTAAATATAGCTTAAATAATAAGCGGATGCTAATGATTGACAATGTGGTTTACTTTCTTAAAGGTAACAAAATATATGCATATTTATGAATGATTTGTAAACACTCTCGATTCCTGTCTCTACCACTTTTGGTTTTCTGACTATAAGTGTGTCGAAGTATATCGATAACTGACAAAAAGATTCAACCAGTCAGTTAGCTCTTAACAGATTTAATGTCAACAAAAATAAACACGGGACTGGTTTATATTTCGCTACGATTTTGTTTAACATTAAAATAAAAAGTAATCGAGTTTAAGGTAAAGATCTGAGTAGAATAATATACATTCTATTTTGTTAACTCCTCATTAACTGCCTAAAACCTGTAATACTTAAAATTACTTAGTAAGCTGTAGTATTTTAATTTTAGTTTTCCTGTATTTAGCATCGCAATTTGTAAAAGTAAGCGTATGATTTAGGGTTGAGGTTAAAACAAACGTCACTAATCTTCAGACAGTTCGTGGTCGATAAGAAAGCAATAATGTTACACAAAGTGTTGACAGATTTTACATGATTAATGAATCAATCAAAGCTCTCTATAAGTCAATCAACCTGTAAATTAAAAAAAAGTGAGATATAAATTTGCTCATATGGGTATATATTATTCGTCTCCTCAAACATTTATGCAGACCCAATTTGATTCCAAGTCCCCATATTGTTCTTGTTTAGGTTTAGGTATTCAAACTTAGGATTACAGGGTTTGGGGTTAGGTTTTCATCATGAACTGACATTATCTATAAGTAAAAATGACCTGTAGCCGCATAGGTGAATGAATTTCGAGCAAAAATGCAAGAGTTGTTGTCGAGCTATTTCGCTCATAAAATACAGTGCCTCCAGGTTAAGGTTCGTTTCAGCATTATAGGATTAGGGAGTGTCGATTTTCCTATTATATTATTATTATTATTATTATTATTATTATTATTATTATTATTATTAATGGCTTTATTCAATATTATATTTTGGTACAATATAGAATTCTCAGCACAGGGTATTTCAACAAGTTACTTACTGAACAACGAACAAAAAAGGCAGTAGCGAATATATAAAGAAATATATAAAATAAAAATTTTAAAAAAAACCAAATGAAACTACAAACTTTTAAAATTAAAGACATGTTAAGAATGTAAGTTATTGACTAAGTTAATTCTAACAACCTGTTCGTCACAGAGTATATTTGCTAGGTAAGGTATAATAGAACTTTTATACTTTTGCTTGCATGCATGTAATTACGTCTCGTTCTACCAGAAGATATACAAGGAGAAAGATAAGAGTGAAGGGGATGGCTAGTATCTGATAAAATAACACCTGCCAGGAGTTTGCATGATTTTAAATGTCTGTCCACAACCATATTAATTATGACCTCGAAAGATTCACCGCACGTCTTACTAACTGCCTTTAGCACTCTTCGCAATACAGCAAAGTCTTTTCTCAAAAGCCCGGGAAAGAATAATGGAGAACAGTAAAGAATAATAGGTAATATGCAAGAATTGACAAATTGTAAGAGAAAATGACGAGTAATTCCAAGAGCATGCAATCTCTTTATGTAGTAGGTCAGACGGAAAACCTTCTTTGATAACGATAAAACGTGGGAAGACCAAGACAGATCAGAGGAAAAGGTGACACCAAGATAATTGACCTTCGACACCGCGTTTATCAAAGAGTCTCCGATGGTACAAGCACTATGGGATCTCAAAATAGTGTTTATATTCCGTTCATGTCTCATACTAAAGTTAACAGCTTGACATTTAGATGGATTAAGTATGAGACCATTACCAACAGACCAACAATCAATACGAGACAAAAACTCATTCATTTCTATGGGATGTAAAGAGGAAGATATAGGCATACATACAGTGAGATCATCCGCGTACTTCACAAAAGTGTTTTCTGTGGAAGATGGCAGGTCATGCAGAAAAAAAGAGAATAGAAGAGGTGAAAGAACAGCTCCTTGTGGTACACCTTCCTGAGACAGTAGAGAATCTGAACTCTTTCCTCCAAACACAGTGTACTGTTCCCTTCCAGAGAGGTAGGAACACAGCCAGTTGGTTATCCAGCTGTCAGTGTTGACGCTGATTAACTTGTTAAGTAAACGTTGTCTTGGTATAGAGTCAAAAGCTGAAGTATAGTCTAGAAAAGCACATCGAACATAGTTCTTACCCTTTTCTAAGTTGAACACTATGTTGTGATGCAGAACTGCAACAGCATCTAAAGTGCTTCTTTTGCGCCTGTATGCAAACTGGTATGGATCAGTATGCTCTTTTATCGCAGGCTGAAGTGGAAGTATTAATAATTTTTCCATGGTTTTGAGGAAAGGTGAAGTTATTGCAATAGGTCTAAATTTTACATTCTTATCACCAGATGCTTTCTTGGGTACAGGAATTATCTTCATCTTTCTCCACATTTTTGGTATGAGATTAGATGAGAAGGATCTGTTAAAAATAGTTGTGAACGGATGACACAGAACGTCAGCACATTTTTTAAAAAGGAGGTTTGGGATACCATCAGGACCCAAACATCGAGATGAATTAAGCGACTGGAGACATCCTCGTACATCAGTTTCAGTGAACGTATGAACACAGCTATTTTTTAAACCCGTGGATAGAGGGAGCATCACATCAGATGACTGACGTACAAAAGACTTATTTAAGTCACAAACATTCAGCTGGTTATCGCTTCTAAACTTTCTGTCACCTGTAAGTTCTTTAAAGAATTTCCACATACTTGTAGAGTTTTTGCAAGATAAGAGTTTTTGAGTAAACATGCAGTTGAGATGTCTAATCTCTAGGTTTATCAGACCATTTAGCTTACGAACTTCATTTGAGTTCTTCTCTTTGTACATTCTTTCTTTAATCCTCCGTAGTCGTTTTAGTTGTGAAGATGTAAGCCGATCAAAACTTACAAAAATGGTTTCAGTGGGACAACAAATATCAAAACAGAATTTAAGGTAACAAGTGATAACATCAGTAGTGTTTTCGAGTGAGTCATCTGTAAATAATTCCCAGTTAGTCGTATGAAACATGTTTTTTAGATTTCGGATATTTTCTTCTGAGTAATTCCTATATTTGACTTTCTTGGTTTGATGTAAGAGTGCACTCTTCCCATGCTTTCCATATACTTTAGGTAGAACACGAATTAAACAGTGATCTGAGCTAGACAATGGAGCACGTTTACGAGTCGCATATATACCCACATCATTAATGAAAACGAAGTCTAAATGAGCATCCAAACGAGTAGGAAAATCTACTACATTTTGGTGACCTAGTGACGTAAGGAAGCTACAGTCACATGAATTGAAATCACCGCATACAACTGAAAGTGAATCACTGAAGGCAGTAACAGCGAACTCAGTTAATTCATCAGCAAAAACAGATAGTGCAGATGATGTGCAATCTGGAGTCACGTAGATATTGGTAACATAAACATATTTGTATTTATTCAGATGTTTTGGACGACATCTTAGAGTTAGACAGTCGATAAAGTCATTTGAAAACTTAAAACACACAGACGAAGATTGACACCAGTTTATGTTTACAAACGTAGCTACACCTCCACCACACCTTTTTTTATTGTTCGATCGATCCTGACGATAAATTTTGAAATCATGTAGTGATACAAGGCAGTCATCGTGTAAATCATTCAACCAAGATTCTTGAATTGTGATGACACCACAATTACGATACGTATTTTGACTAAGCAGGAATTGCAGATAGTCCACTTTGTTGATTAATGATCGGCAGTTAGAATTAAGAAGCTCGGGAATCGACATACGATTAATGTTCATTCTCTTTAACGCATATTGCCAACCACCACGATGCCTTTTATAGTACTTTTTCTTAACTTGTGCAGCGAAAGGTCGTAGGCTTTTCATAAAAGCGCCTGAATAGGTTATGCGATTAATGGACATAATTATAAATTAAAACAAATAAAAACTGATAACTTGTTGAAATAATCAGATGGCAGAAACAGGTAGCCCAGATATTCAAGCAGGCCGCCTATATATATAGTCTACAGAGACAGCATTGAGCATTTGATATGTTTACTACCATTCCTTTATTTTGTGATAGCGAATATTAGTTTCTTGTCACTACTTTAAACGTTTTCAGCAGTATACAAAGGTACTTCTATTATTCATTATACGTAATATTTCAATTTCACACAAAAAACTAAAAGTCGAATTTTCGATTCTGATTGGTTTGTCTTCATACTATATTTTAATAAGTTGTAAGCTTTTTGTAAAAAGGCCTGAGTGTATGTATTTATTCCACATAAATCTAAACACAAGGTCGATTACAATATTTGCACAGTTGGGAAATAGATGACCACCAATATCACACGTGCAACCCACGAAATAGTCTGAAATAAACCAAGTGAGTAGTATTGTAATGTATAAGAAAGAATCAAGTAACTTCTTACCAAGTTCGCCAACACACTTCGAAAGTACTTGCTTAGTTAATGGACACTGAAGTAAAGGACCAGAAAGATTTTGACAAAGTTGCTGAAAACACTGCAAACCAATATTCTGTACTACATTTAACTGATCATTGATAGAAGTAGCAGTGGTAGTCGTAGGACCGCAAGAAGGATATAATGAAGATGATGAAGAGGATTCCGATGAAACACGTGTAGCGTTTGTATTGAGATTTTTTGATTCAGAGGTAATTAAACGTGATTTATGTACCAAGTAACTGGATTCATGCAAAATAAAATACAAAAAAGGTTATGTAATAATAGTGACGATGAATACCGATACTTATGAAGCTTGGGAAAATCTTAAAGCTGCTTATACCAGCTATTTTACAACTATACAACATTACACAGAGTTTATTGTCAAGACATGTAACTTAACGGTGAACAAGTTAATAAGTCAGTCATAACCAACGTAAATGTGTATCGTTCTCATTGATCAGACTACATTCGCATACAGAGAAGTAATTAGCAAGATGAAGAACAAAAGAGTGGAAGTAGTAGCAGAACTAATGATAGTATCAAAGGTTTATCATAAGAAATCCACGTATAAAAAAGTGAAACTGATGATGAACCCTAGGATACAGGTACATTCAGATGATAAGTCATGAATAGGACGAAAAAGACAATAATAGATCCCACCCTAGGATGTGACCGATCTACTCTGTTATATATTGAATATTTAGTGAAAATCAACCGAAATCCTTATCACAATTAGGAAAAAAACTTATACTTTATCTGGGAGATTCAGATCACTATTATTCGTACAAGAAGATAAAGAGATCTAACTTAATTAAACAATTCAAATAACTTACTAAATTTACCCACTAAAAATAATAACCAGCTAATAATACTACTAACCTGACTGCATTCTCCAATTGAAGTACAGTACGTGCCCAATTTACTCCAAGATTTGAATGTTTACCACCTTCTGGTGAGATGGACGTTGATAGTGACGAAGAATCATTGTAATTTACAACATCACAGGCTGCAGTTCGTGATACATCTAGTGCCAAATTAATTAATCTATCAATATCAGATCTGTTCATTTGATATAACTCATCAATCTCTTTATTTCGTTCATCTGTTTGATATTCACATGAAATATTAGTACCACCGGAGCACGACTGATGACCAGGCATCCAAGAAGGTAGGACTAAAGTAGTAGGTAGAGAAAAAATGAAGGATTATAGTGCATAGAAGACTCAACTCGGAAATTTGAAAACACCATTCTGAAGAAATGCTATACAGACAGGGGGAAAGTACACACTAAAGAATTCATTTCCAAAGGCTGACACTAACAATAATTGATCACTAAGTAGCAATTATTGTCATACATATCTATTCATTCGGTGCCGATTGAATTCTACGCAAAAAGTTACGATGAGGCTGCTAATCTAAGTAACTCGATGTCGTGTGTACTATGTTTGGTGATTGTACGTATTAAACAGGAAACCCTGCACGACTTAAGTTTCGTGCTGGTTGACATCCGTTAAATCATACAGGGAATATCAATTCCCTCAAAATTACAGGTAACCATTGTTGAAGAATTCTAACTAGGATGAACCCTGGGCCCATTATTTCCTACCAACTACCTACAGCTAGCTAATAACAACGGTTGAACATAATCGAGGCTTATGTGAAATAGATGAGTAAAAAGTATAGTGATTGAAGGATATGCTACATAAAAGTACTAAAGTGAGAACTAATACCTTTACATCATTGAGTCTTATCTTAAAGATCCACGATTTCAACTTTAGCCAGAAAGATGAACATCATTCAGTGCAATGGGGGACGACATCTGACTTATTCACATCTAAAACTGTTTGCTTCTAAGAAATAACTTATTGTAACACAAAGAATTCAGAGAGTTATAATATTTGAAGGTAAAAAACAGGTTTACTAGTCTTATACATTCACAACGTAACATAACAATTAAAAGAGGAGAATCTTACAAAGATAAAATAATAACGAAAGTAGTTGTCTACTGTAAATTCAAGTCAATGATAAAAACTAAAGAATGCATGATAAATCTTATTGAATAGTGGAAATGAACCTAGACTTCACATTATGTACAATATACTTATTAGAAAATTGATCTTTTCTTACATGATGTACCCACCCCCGGCCAAAAAAACACAAAAACAAACTTACTTGATTGGCATTCAACATACTGAAGTAAATTGACACGTACTGGAATATATAATTTTGGGAGAATATTTGTACAAAATTCATTTTGTAACTTTTCAATACATTCAATACGATTACACATTTGTTTAGCATGTTGACGTAGTGAATCTACTGTATCCTAATAAAATTTGAAATTCATTTCAAATAAATAATCATATTATGAATATCGTAAATACAATTGTACTTGTTTTAAAAAGAATTATACAATTTTTGAACAGTTGAATTCACGAGTCAATCTAAGCTAGACCACCATTGAAAACCTGGAAGCACTGGACGGATGTTTCGTCCTAGTATGGGACCATCCAGAATTATTAGAACTAGAATAAAGTAGACAAGAGATGTAATGCATAATCTTAACCCATATTTAGGGATGAAATAACACTTAATAATCAAAGTGTTATTAGAATTTGATTCGTATAGAGGACATATAATACAGTAAATAAGAAATTGATCTAATCAAGTAAAGGCTCAAATTTCATCATAATTAAGAGTTAGTTTATGCTTCAGTAATTCTCTTAGTATCAGTAGAAGACTTGTTCAGACATAAATAAATCGAATAGTTTATGTGACAGGAACGAATCATAAGTAGCTGATATGTTTATGGATCATTTTAACAAAGTAAGAGGAGAGTGGTGATATGAAACAATACTTCATTAATTTTCACCTACCAAAAAATGTTTACTTATTTCATGGTAAGTAGTACAACAAAACGATTTTATCAACCTACAATAGAAATGAAATTCAGAATTGACTAAAATGTTGTAGATGTATTTATTATTTACCATCCCTTAGATCTTGAGCAATGATACAATGTGTTCGAATGATAAATGTTCTTGAAACTAATTGATTAAAGTAAATTTGTAAACGAACAGATGCCGGCTCAGTGATCTCGAGTCCCGTGTACGGGATTGTGAATGTGCACTGCTGAGGAGTCCCATGCTAGGACAAAACGACTATCCAGTGCTTCCAGGCTTTCAATGGTGGTTTAGCTTTTAAAATTACTACAAACGACTCAAATTTTCATTCTGATAAGACAAAGGAAGACAACAGCTTAAAAGAACAGATATTTTTTAAAATCTGTTATGAAAGGATGAAAGGTCAAAATTTAATTGATTCATTCATTATGATTTTTACTCAGCATTAATTCCGCTTAATTCAATTTGATGATCACTCAGTATAGTATTAGTTTGGTTTCCCCCTATGACATTTTATTCTGTATTATATATGATATTCTTGTATAAAGTATTTTTCATATACGTGATTTCCTATGACTATTAATCAAAAATGGGTGTACAAACCAACATATAAATGGGTGTATTTCTGACTAGACTGGTCGTAGTTGCTCGTGCTTCTGACTTTTGCAGAATATGCTTCCCCGTTTCAAACTTCAACTTCTCTCTCTCTAGTTAGCGGGGATGTGACGTATCAGAATATCTAGCTTATTGGTCTTTGGTCTCAGAGTCTTAGTTCCGTTCGCAGATTAGACTAGGCGAACTCATAATCACTTCAAACATAGCATTATCTAATCAAGTATTACGCTTAGGTATAAGATTTTAAACACAGTAATAAATGTAAACAGAATTTAAATGAAACATAGATGACTGAAAGTAATTTATATATTTCCAACATACTTTATATTCTAGATTTTGTCATAATTAAATTTTATTTTGATAAAAAATTTGTTTATCAAAAGAGTTTATAATTTTCCTTCCTTACTTTGTATACACTTACATACTAGATGGACAATAAAAACTAAAACTTGACACCAATACACCAGATTCAGATTTATATATTGCACTTTTATTCACATTATTTGTGATATTTACGTACTAACTGCTTGAACTAAGTAAATAGAATAGTGTCCGAGTCTAATAATAAACGGTAAAAAGCTGACTGGATTAGATACTTAGTTACTGTTCCCATATAATGACATAAATATTACTGAGATGTTTAATACTAACTTTCAAAAAATTATCAGACGAGGCCATATGTTTCAAAATTAATAGTGATAAGGAAGACTTACTTTCATATATTTTGGGAATTGATCAATTGATGACGGTAGGGTCATTAAAGACGATGATGAAAATAAAACTTCGAATGATGATGAACATGATAATTCAATACGACGTTCATGAGATTCACTGTTTTGTAAGCGTAAAACACTTGATTCCGGTGATACTGACAAGATAAATGATGACGATGATAATAATATTTATGAATTATTTAAATTCAAAACTATTTAAAACGATTAATCCATTTGATAAATTTGGACAGTGTAACACAGCCGAAGATTATCAGAAATATGTAATACATTAGCGGAATATATTTCGAACAATGTGATTACACATATACTTGTTAAGAAGAATAAGAGGAAACAAAGATAATAAAGAAAATACTGTGAAACTTACCACGCTGGATAATAAAGCAATATCACCAGGGTAAGTTTAGGATGAGAACAAACTATCATAATAACCTGAAGACAAGAACAATCAGTTTCATTTCTTATATATATGATTTACTCAAATGATCCATTATAAGAAAGTCAACTTGAATAAGCTGGTTTCATAATTACTATACGGTTCAAGAAAATGGGGTTTGATAAAGGACCTATTTTATAGGGTTAGTCGTAGTTTTACAAACAATGCTTTCAGTGACGAAATGAAGTTACTGAACAAAACATTGACGGAGAATGGTTATCTTATAAAATTTATAAATCAATGGAAAGGTCATAGTATAGTGAGACTTACTACATCGTTGGAACAGTAAAAACCTGTCTACATCATCCCATCGTTCAGAGATGAATCAAATAGCCTTTTATTGAAAGAAAGGGTCAAATCAGTTATTAGCAAAACGTACTAGGCAGCAAAGGTCATTATCATGAAAAAACCAAGGTCCATGCTTCACCGAAAACATAAACAGCATGTAAACAATTGCGTCACATCAAACTGTTTATCAATTTACATGCAGGTGTTCATACATACACGGGAAAAAGCAATCGTGATTTACAAATTAGGGTATCTGAATATATACCAAAATGATTGTGAACATAAAAAAATTAAATGGCACAGTAAGACGAGATGGTAAACACCCATCGTCCTCGATTGCTAAACACTGTTGAAACTGGTCATAAGACTGATATTGACTCCGCTTCTGTATTTTTGTATAAAAGTGTTCAAGAGCGTATACCAGGGTTTATTGAAACCTTAGCCATACGAAAATTCAAAACCACTTTATGTGCTCGAAAATGGTTTCTTCTCAATTTAAACGTACCCCGGTAAAATTGTTTTATTATCCAGCGTGGTAAGTTTCACAGTATTTTCTTTATTATCTTTGTTTCCTCTTATTCTTCTTAACAAGTATATGTGTAATCACATTGTTCGAAATATATTCCGCCAATGTATTACATAGTTCTGATAATCTTGGTCTTTTTGTTGGACTATCTAAATTTATAACTATTATTTAAAGCATGAAAGATAAGTACACATATGAGATGAATAACAATCGGATTAAAGAAAGAGAATTTCAATAAAAAAGAAACACTAGAGTGGGATAACCCAAATAATGTCATATTTATGGTGAAAGTTAGAAAATATTTATGTACGAAACTAACCTGTTGATAACACGTTTACATTATCATTCTCACTAGAAACTTTCATATTCGATTCATGCATATACTGATATGTATTCCATAATGACTGACTTGTTTGCATAAATGAAGTTAATGACGTCCAATCGAAATAACACAATAGTATATCAATCTATATGGAATAATTGTGTAAAACAAAAATATGATATAAGACAAGGAGATATGAGATACTGTGTAAAAGAAACTATCATACAAACTAAATAAAATGAACAAAAGAAATGGAATTAGATTGAATTTAATGCTTCCCTGAGGATAATCTAACCAAGTATATTTTAAGCTTTTTGTAAGCAGATAAAGATTAACAGCTAGTGAATTTATGTTTCTTTGACTATTGCTTAAGCCATGCAAAACGGACAATTATGATTTAAATTCAAAGGTCAAGAATTTCGTAATGAAAAACAGAAAAATTACTAACATTTTACAAGAAGATATTCACAAATAATTCAATTTAATGACTTACGAATGTAATGTGGGTAATTTCCACCAAGGAGTTAGCATTTGTCATGAAAATTAGGTCATAAACTCTAGTCACGAGTGCTTTATGCCGTCATATTTTGATTCATATGAACAATCACAGCATTGATGTGCTGATATTAATATACTAGTTTGACTTTCTTAAACCATCATGTGTCAACCCATTTCAGAATTAGTCAGCCTAAAGAATTGAGTTAAGGTTTAGGACTTCGTTATTCTTAATTAGCTCCTCTAATTTTAGTATTGTACGTTTAACATCAACAGTATATTACTAGTTCAGTGGTTACTTCATGCGTGAACAATAATTTAACGATTATCCATAAGTAACGCATACTTTTTATACATTGATATTATTACTAGTGGCTTTATTCAATATTATATTAGTGGTACAATATCAAATTCTTAGCACAAAGTATTTCAACAAGTTTCCTTCTCTTATTTCTTGATCAATCGTTGCGATAAATATTGAGTGGTCGCCAGTTAGATGTTAGCAGTTCAGGAATCGACATCTGATTAATTTCTCTGATTGGGCTATTTTGTAACCTGTACAGTGAAATGTTATGCGAATGTAAGGCATAATGATGTGTTAAAACAAACAAGAAAACAGATAACTTGTTGAAATATCCAGATGGAAGGAACAGGTAGCCAAGTTATTCAAGCAGGTTGCCTTAGGTTTGGTGATTGTATGACAATATAATTCAACAGCCTAGTGCAATCGATTTTGTAAAAAGGGGACAGAAAATTTGTGAGGATCAGATGATTAAAACTTTTCATTTTCAGTCTCCAGAATGAAAGAAAATTACACTTGCATTACCATAGATTTCCAGCATTATAAATCGTGTCTGATTATACATTAAGAATGAAATAACGCCTAACAGATAAATGAAATTATCTTCCAACTTCCCGACGGTAGATGTTACCTTGACATGGTGGTCGGGCTAACATATCGTGATGACTCCACCGAGTTATACTGGCCAGAAAGCATTATTCGTTAAGTCATACCATGCAGACTGGGGCGGTTGGAGAACGGTAAGACTAAAAGAAGCGACTTAAGGTCTGAGGGCGAAGTCGCACTGCTGACGGTAAGGCTGTGACAAAAGTAAGGTGTTCTCCTCGGACAACAAGCAACTGCAGTGATGCTGTCTTCTTATAACGAGAGGAAGGGGTTAAAAGAGGTTGATCTTAAAAAGATAACAATTCGACTTACCACATGGGTTTCAGTCTCCGGCGGTAAGGCCTTTTTTGGAATGCGAAGCTAATACGTCAAAAACCTCTCATAAAAAAACCATACGCAACCGATCTCAAACACTTGTCCCTTGGGTACTTCGGTCACGGATCGCTAAGACCACCACCGATTTGTCATCCTTTCAAACCGTACAAGAAGAAATATCCGTCCATGGTACGGGGAGCCAGGAAGTGACAAACAACCTTATTCCTATACCCCTGAAATCATCTTGTTGACAATCGAACCCCTCTTTCACCTCCTAATAATTCTCTCGTCCCCACGATTAACCCTTCTCAATGCTGATGATCTGAGTTCATGAAATGTTACTTCTAGTCCCTTTAAACCACATGTGTGAAGTTCTGATTTTCGAACCTTGTGTCAGATAAGACAGCTGGCTTCATTAACTAGGACTCCAGGATATTCCACCATCGATGTATGTCGAGTCGCCGAGACGCGCATACAGGATCCAAGAACAGTCATTCGTCTAGCCTCACCTTGTCAATACAAAGCGCTGACGATTTACCCTTCGTGTATCTGGAGGTTCCATTTCTACTTCCCGTGGCCTCGTGGGCGTAGATATAGAATTAATTTCAAAAGCAGAACAGGTTATGTTAGATTAGATTTTAATAGACAGTTGCTTGTGCGATGATCGACTAAACGGGACAGTAAGGACTTGAAAATATAGGGACACAAGCCGTTTTCTTTTAGTTGTTTCTGCCTACGCTCACACTGGTTTAGCTCGGATGATGTTTAAGATGAGTTTTATAGAAAGCTATCCAACCTCTTTCAAAAATTTAAACTCTCTGAAGTAGTAATTGTAATGTTTAAGTAAACAGGCTAAATCAAATCGAAAGGCATTTGAGCGGATCATACGGTGTTGCGGCTCAGAAAACAGATAGTGGCAACCGTATGCTGTCACTATGTTCAGATAGTGTCTATTTCTAGCAAACACCAACTTCAAACATAAGGGAAAACATCGTTTGACGTTGTGACCCCAAGATCGACTCGTCGATGGACTCAAATAGATAATATTGCCACTGGAGAGACTCTACAGAAGACTATCGTTCCTTCAGAAACATATTTTTAGACTCGGATCATGATCTAGTCCAAGTTCGTATTTGTCTGCATTTTACTGGATGTAGATAAGCCACATCAAGAAAATCCCTTATAATCCAATCCAATGATGAAAAAGTTAAAAATATATTTTAGAAACAACTAGAGGAGATAGTCTACCATGAAAGTGATATCCACACCAATGTAGCTTGGGACAATATCTAAAAAGCTGTGGAAACAAAAGTAATATTAACTAGTGTAAGACACGACAATAGGTAGGAGGAATGTGTATTTATTACGAGAAGTTATGAAGTATTTACATAATACGTATACACAGCCTCCAATCGTCCATTTGAATCTTCTGGTGTGTTTTGCAATCTGAACTGTCTTCTCGACTGGCCTCTGAGTGTTCTCACAACGCCATGCTTTTGATGCACTGAAACTTTTGCAACTTCGACGACACGTTCCGCTACACACTACCCACAAACATAGTTGTGAATAGCGTCCACTAAACTAGTAACGTAAACCAAAATGTAAGAAAAGTCAGTGGATTTCAGTGGGATCTACAGAGTTGATAGATGCTCATAAATTCATCCCATCCGGCTCTGAACACGATGAAGAGCGGAGGCAGCTTAAACGTAGGCTGATAAAAAGCTCACGTAATGATCATGAGCAGCGGTGGGCAGAGAAAGTAGAAGAGATAAAGAAAAAGGCGACAGGGATAGGTAACAGTAGACAACTACTCAGAATTATCAACGAAACAATAATTAGAAATCCGGTTGTCCGTGAAACTAGACTATTATTCACTCTAAGTGCAGGATATTGAATCTATGGGCAGAACACTGTAGGGAACAGTTCAACTGGCCTTCAACCACACATACATCTCAATTACCCACTGTCTCCAAGCAACGTGAAGTTGACAAGGCTATAAGTAATCTAGAGCGAGGGAGGGTAGCTGAGTCTGATGAACTAAACCCTGAGATATTTAAGGATAATGGTCCAGCTTTAGCAGTTAAATTGACTGAGATCCTAGCTAAAATTTAGATACTAGACGTAATCCCATCTGACTGGTCTCATTCGCTTATCGTCCCAGTTCATAAGAAAGAACGAAAATCCTCTTGTGACAATCATAGAGGAACCGGTTTAATTAAAATAAGATCTGAAATATTAACCTCGAAAATTCTTCTACGCTTAACTAAGGCTCGGGAAGAGTAAACCCAAGGAAGCCAAGGTGGTTCCACACCTGGACGTGGATGCACAGATCGAATATTCACCCTTAGGCAGGTTCTGGAACATAGACAAACTATTCGACGTCTGAAAATAGTTGTATTATTTAACCTTGTTGTTCGTGAAGCTCTATGGCAGTGTCTGTCATTGAAAGTAGTACCGAAGTACATTATCTTGTGCAGGCTCTCTACTCAAACACTACTGGTCGAGTCAGAGCTTATGGCGAACTGTCGTAGGCATCGGTTAATTTAAGTGGTGTTTATCAGGGTTGTCCACTTTCGCCATTTTTATCTAACTTCATCATAGACATGCTTCCAGAAATAATACTTTCATCGTCTGACTTTTCAAGGACTGATCTATCAGGAGATTCAATTTCTGACATTGAGTACCCTGATAGTATAGTGCTGTTTGAAGACGCCGACAAAATGAAGTCTTCTGAGTATACTGCTTTCAGGACATCAGTAATATCGGTTCACATAATTCCGCTCATTGAACAATGGTCAATAAAATTCTCAAACATTCATTGCCCGAGTTTGATATATCACTTATGGACTATTGAAAACAATCTTATACAAGAAACAAAGAAATAGAACTGTTAGACAGCTTAATCTAGGAATTATCATGAATAACGATATCCTTTAAGGAAATAATATCATTATAGTAGATAAAAACTAGTTTATTAAAATAAAGAAAAACTGATAAGATGACAAAAAACAGTGGGAGTCACTTACCACAGACCGTTGATAGCCTGGATCCAATAAATGTGAGAGCTTCGAATTGGATTTAATATCATTTACATTTAGAAATGGACTACGTGATAATAATACATCGGACTGGCATAAAAAATCAATAAGACAGTTGAAATCACTGAAATTACGAAAAAAGAAGTAAATATTTAACAAGGACAGTTTTAAAAAAGATTGATTGATCACTGAGTTGGTAAGCGACATAATATCGCCTTGTCCATTAGTGCTTATTAGATCCTATCGATCACGTGGCTACCAATTTCATTACTTGAACGTAAGGTTGAAAATTATGTCATGTGGTTAGTGGTAAGCAAAATAAACCATGGGTCTAAGCTTTACAGTGACTGACACATCAATTAGCAAGGTGTACAAGTCTTAAATAGGGCTAATGTTCCATATGGGATTTAAAATCTCAACACTCAGTATCACAATTAAAAACCTTATTCCTGAGTTATTTAGGTAGAGACTGACCTGTATGATTGAACTATCCACACAACAATTGGTGACTTCATAGTAATAAACTTTATGTTCAGTAGTTTCCTAGGGGTGATCGAGTTCTGTCAACTGAATTGTAAAGTGTTTGTCAAACTAAGTAATTTGACAATGTGTAGGATAAGATAGAATACCATTGGGATCATTATTTACCTCAAGATTGCAGATTCACCATGGTGACGAGTGTCAAATATGATCAAATGTTTAGTCAGGTCTGACTGAATACTGGTTTTAAATATTATTAGTTAAAAAGCTTCTTGTCAAATAATTTATAATGCAGTTAACCGATTCATGATAAATAATGTGTTGCTGGTAGTACATAGACACATACAGAAAGGAAACCCGCAGATACATCTGTATTCCAAAGTATAACGTATGACAATATGACGGATATATATTCTTTGTCACATTATGTAATCGATGAACTAATTCTCTGAAGTACTAAACAGCTATTGATAGATAAGTTCAACAAGTTGCAGTGTTTCAGCTTAACTCTTTTTGATTAACTATTGAAGTATTTTCATCTATTCGTAATGGACTAAGACAATGAATGACAAACTAGTGTAGTGGAATCGTACTATTATACTGTTAAAAATGATTCTTGGTAAAATTGAAAATATGATGGAAAACCTCCTAGAGCGAAAACGATTTTCTTAAGATCTATTGGTTTCTATATTCATCTCTATGGTTGTGAACGATTCTGACGAATGCCATTTGAAATCCGCAAACACCGATTGCGGTTATCACGCAAACCTCAACCACGTAGTTTCGATCTACCCACACAGCTCAAAGCAAAAACCAGTGACTTCATGAACTGATATTACGCCTTAGTTTTATAGTTCCTAGCTTTGCCCCAACTAACTCATTTACCAACTGACGTTCATCCGTGGAGGTGGGTAGTGTTTAGGGATACGTGTATTTTGAAAAAGAAGACTAACAATGACATGTAAAATATGCATTTAGTCTTATATGAAGTGATTCGTTTAAAAGCCAATCTGTTAACAAATTTAATCTTAAATAATTAAAAACACGAAAATATCAACCCTTACAGATACTTAAAAGTCAGTTTCTGTATATATTATTAGTTCAGACATACGGAATTCATACGTTAATCTATGTATGTAGCAACCATCTGTTAATGATACAGAACTAATTCAGTTTGAAAAAAAGTTAACCAACTGTAAATAAAAAAAACTTACTGTGTAAATGAAGGTTTATTTGAATGACAGTGACTATTTACTGATGAAATCAATCTAATTTTTTGTATAATCAATTGAAATAATGATTGTTGATAATCTTGTTTGTTTAGTGATGATGAGGGCGATGATGATAATGAAGATGGTGAAGATGACGATAATGGTAGATATGATGAATGTCCAGTGTGTATGAATAATGAGGCTGGTAAACAGCGTAACAGCAAGAAACCAGGTGTAAATGAACTGAAATTAGAATGTTAACATATTTGATACACATATTAAAGAGAGAGAAAGATTAAAATCAGTGAGACAGGGGTTAAACAGATAAATAATCAAACGATATGAATGTTTAGAATAACAATTATTGTACAGAATAGGATTCCAGATAAAACGTTAGAAACTGGTTTACAAAAATTGCTTATAAGCTTTCTTAAAATGAATGGTTTATTACAGGAATCATGTAACACAGATTGAAGAGATTTAAGATTACTGACAACAATATGATTCAATTTGCTGCTGTCAATACACAACAAATAACCATGGAGCAAAGATAATATTTCACGAATTGAAAAATAAGTTAGAGATTGATAACTACATAGTTTGTTGAATTGCATCACAGAAAATCATGATGCAACAGCATGTCATGTACATGTTTGTTTGAGGAGGGTGAACATCTATAAAATGGACTGCTTAAAGAAAATGTTCACTATAGTGCACGTATCTAGATAAACTGCCCAATGATTTTCAATTAATTATCTTGATGAGGCGGCCTGCTTGAGCATCTGGGCTACCTGTTCCTGCCATCTAGATATTTCAACAAGTTTTCTATTGTTGTTTGTTTTAATATATCATTATGTTTATTAATCGCATAACCTATTCTGCTGCGTTTCTGAAAAGTGTACAACCTTTCGTTGTCAAAGTTACAGAAAACTCAATAAGAGACAATATGGTTGCTGGCAATGTACGACGAAAAGAATGTACATTATTCAGTTGTTCATTCACTGAAGTGCTAACATCTAACTGGCGATTCCTCAATATTTATCGCCAGGACCGACCAAGAAGAAAGAAACGGAAACTTGTTGAAATACTTTGCGCTGAGAATTCTATATTGTACCAAAATTATAATATTGAATAAAGCTAATAATAATAATAATAATAATAATAATAATAATAATAATAATAATAATAATAATAATATTTATTGGGGGGAGGATGGGCCTGTGTTCTATATACATGATATTTAATGAAATCCCAAGTTTTGGTTGTGTGTTTTTGCGAATATGCTTTTTTTTAAACATTATTATGAACGAAAGCAGATATTAGTCAAGTAAACTGTTTTTCGAAACCAACATCCTCTTTTCAACTACAAAATGGAAGTATAACTTGAGACAATTGTTAGAAGCGTTACTGTTATTATAATCTGGTACAGATAGAAAAATGAATTCATTTCGATAATGAAATTTAAATCTACACTCTTCGGATAAGATGACTTGAAAGAAAGATTCAGCTATTACAATGAGGGATACTTATCTATACATCAACGTAGTAACTATACACGACAATACACATCATCACACATACCATTAAAGAAAATATTTATTTGTTTATTATGCATGGTGGAAATTTCCATTTCGACATTTGGTAAGAAGAAAACGATGAGAGTTAAGAAATTTCTTTCATCATGGCTTTACACATAAATATACTAGTGTAGAGCCTTGATGAGAAACGAATTGAAAAGAAATTTCTTCGCTCTAATAGTTCTTTCTCCGAAATGTTCATTATGTGACGGGTTCCATTAGAAAGAATTTATGGACAGATTTTTATATTCATCAAAACTATCTATTATCGATCGTTGATGTCTGTCGACATAAGTAGCATACACCAAAAAATATCAGAACCAACAGTCATCGACACTAATTTTCTGACTTTCCTACTGAATTCTATAATACGTTTTACACTGACATGTGACAGTTAATTGTTAATGATACCTAATTAATTTTTTATCCATTTTATTGACTTCCAAACTACTATCGAGTGTAGACAGTCATAGATGCAAACATTGGTTAATAATATTAAACGAAGACAATATAATTGTCTGATACTGTGTGGTATCCAATGAACCACCAGTTGATATCGATTCATAATGAAAATTGTCTTCGGAAAATAAGTATATATCGACACATAATTTTTGTGATTGGAGGTAATCGGTAGATGTGCCCTGTTGCTAAATCTCAACTAGCATAAAACACAGGCTAAACAAGATTTCCTGCCGACAACCTCCAACCACTTAACATCAAAACATAATGTATGATATATTGAGTTACTTAGGTAAGTGGTCACATTGCAGTAACCTGATCAATAGAATTCGATCAGCACATAAAGGAGTAGAAAATCCTTATAGTGATCACTATTCCGTAATTAGTCACTAGAGTATACATTGGAAACAAGAGATAGATACATAAACAAATACATCAAATAATTATGACGAAGTCAGCTGATTAATTATTTGATCACACAACAAGTATAATTTACAACAAAATAATATTGATTACAGATATACAATAGATAATAATTCTTATGGATATGTGTATACACACCAAAATTGAACTATTAGAAATACACATTCAATTAATTACATAAACAATCTTTATTTATGATTCGAGAGAGGAAAAAAGGAAGACATTTTATTATACTACTGAATGTTTCATTTTAGGAAAGTCAAATATGACGAAATGCACATAAAAAATTACAATACACTTCTTATTAATCATGTGCCGGTATATCTTTTAGCAAACTTTAAGTTTCACAAGAACAGAATCGATGGGTTGGTAAAATGCGAATATATTTGTTTCTAAACAAATAATAATCATCACAAAAAATGGTTTTCCTTATTTGAATGAAGAATATTAAGAATAGGAAAATATTGGTTTAAGAGGCGTATGGAGAATAATTTTCATAGTTTACATCATAAACTAATCCTGGTTAGACAAACATTAAGGACCAGAAAGTAATGAACAACTGTTGGCAGGTGGTTCTGCAATATCACAAAGTGATTAGAGATAGAAAAGCAAATTATTGGATGCCAATTCAACGGTCTAAAATTTAGGCATTCGCCACGAGACCTGGAGTTCTCGAGTTCGACCCTTCAATACGAGATCAGAGATGTGCACTGCTGAGAAGTTGCTTACTAGGACGAAACAACTGTTTAAAGCTTTCTGGTTTTTGATGGTTGCCTAATTAGAGTAAGTTCATTATCTAAATTTTAAAACACAGAAACAAATATACAAGATGGGTACACTAATAGCTTTGAATTGCAAGCTGTTATTTCCCTACTCAAGTAATTGCATTCGGTGAATTGTTATCACATTATCAATAATTCGATTTAGAATTTTTATATTGCTGAAAATCTGCTGTAAGGTAATTTACGAATGCTTATTATTAATAACCTACTTTACTGTGATTTACTAGAGAACTACATACACAGATGATTGGTTTTTTCGGAGGTGGGGAGGAAGAGGATATTTATAGAATACGTGAAATCTACCATTACCTGTACAAAGTACTTTGCAGAACACTAAAGAGGGAATACAGGCTACTATCTTGCAGATCGTGATCGAACACTTAGGGTTGACAACTAATGATTCTTTCGTTTAACCTCTGTAAGATTACTGTCAAACAACATACATTTAACTCATGTTCATAACTAGAGACTTTATGTATTAATGTTTTAGGGTTTGAACAGCTTTAATAAAGATCTGCAATTGGTATAGCTTACATTATGAGTTAGAGTAAGCCATCGTAACTGTTGAGGCATGTGGACTAGATGTTTTAATATTTCCGCAGTTTATGCAGATTCAAAATTTACTATATATCATTCACCATGATTTATTAAAGATGCTCCGCGTTCTATTTAGAATCTTCAATACGAACGTCAAGACAGTTCTACTGTACAGAGCTGAAACTTAGAAACCTACTCCAACCATCATCAAAAAAGTACAAGTAGTTATCGAAAATTGTCTACACATAGTACTGAATGTCCGTTGGCCGAATACCATCAGTAACAGCCTACTATGGAATAGAACAAACCAGCTTCCAGCTAGAAAGGAAATTAGGAAAAGACGCTGGGTGTGGACAGAACATACATTGCAGAAATCATCGAACTGCATCACGACGCAAGCCCTAACCCGGGGCTCTGAATGCATAGGAAAAGTGGAAAACCGAATAACATATTGCGTCGGGAATTGGAGACAGACATTAAAAGAATGAATAGTAATTGGAAACAACTGGAAAGAGCTTGATGGAAGAACTATGCTCCTAAACGAGGGATAACGGGAGTAAGTCAGTTTATCAAATTCTATCACTTGCAATATACTGACAAAGATTAATTGAGGTACCAACAAACAACAGGGAGCGCTAAGTAGTTATTTCGTCCAAGTTTAGGAAATTTCGATAGTATGCAGCCATGACTCGGTTAAGAATAAAACCAAGGAACGTTAGGTCTCACAATGAGTTATCAAGCTTTAGATCAATGAGCTAGAGGTTAATGGTTTGCATTTGCACTTTTAATCCATTTGGGACTGGAACATGGTTGTGTTCCAACCTGACTCGACCGTGGAAGGCATGTTCGAAGAGTTACATCATAAGACAAAAAAGCTGTTAAATGTTTCCTGATTTCTAACTGTATCCCAACTGTTATTAATCTGAGATAACAGATATCTAAAACAATTCTTACAAAGTTAAAGATTAGTTTTAAAAAAATATCTACGAAAAAGTTTCACTCACTTATTACTACACCTTGACTTAATACTACCCAAATTATAACCAATAGAATTAGTTTGGTCATGTCTAGTCGTTAAATGTTGGTCAGCATCAACAACAGATGACGGACTAATAAGATTGAATAATTGGCAGAGTACATTATGAATTAATAGTGGACATATTGGATGATCCACGGGACATAAATGTATTAAATATACACCTTGTATAAGGCTGAATTGACTGAATATCCATGCAATAGTTGTATCAGTTAATGCAGAAATTTGATCAGAGAATAAATCATCTTTATGTGGATTGTTATCATTATTAGTTTTATGAAACTCCAGATTGGATGAGATTAATTGGACAAGACCACTTTCAAACTATAATTAAAAAACAGTCGGTTTAAACAAAGTTTAGGGAAAAAACTAGTATTTTATGTAATTTACATAAGTCATAAACATAAATTTTCATTTACTGAGTGTACAGATTGAGTTTATAGAAATAGGGAGTACAGTTATCAAAGTCAACATCTACAAGACAAATTAGCATCAATTTTCGAGCTTCATTATATTTATTCTTAGAAAGACAGGATAAATTATTTTACTATTGGGGACTAGTAAAACAGTGTTTCAACGGTTAAGGCTTCCAATTTTCGACCAACAAGTAGTAGGTTCGAATCTCGCTCCATTTATTACGACTTAAGCAACGGTATAGTATTCGAAACCTTTACAATTAGTATGTGGTCCAAAGCTAAGTACAGGAATCTGAACTTAGTAAACGAGATAATAGTGATAATACTTATAACAATTTGAATAATAATTATGATTATGAGAGAGGAATAACTGTAGTAATCAGAACAGATTAGGAGCTTTAATTAAATGGACACAATTTTAAGAATCAGTAACATTTCTTTAGATCACCTCCGAACTAATAGATAATAAGTATTCATAGTTTAAATCGTGAACTGATCTTAGCTAAACCAAAACTGGAAACCTGGAAGTACCGGATGTCCATTTAGTCCTAGTATAAGACACCTCAGAGACACGCACCAACAACCCAGCACCTGGGAATCGAACACATGCAGTTCGGTTTTGCTTGCGGATGTTTGACTTTTTTATATCCGAACGAAGAATAAATGAATAGTAGCTACCAGGAATTATTTATAGACTACTATTACGATATATTCCTGTTGTATAATTATTAAGTAATCAGGATATATGTATTTGCATTCCTTTCTTCATAAGCTTTCGTTTGACCTAATTATTATTAGTACACGAATTACCATTATTTACAGTTTTCCTTACTCACAACGTTTTTTGGGTTAATCTTGTATAACCATTGTTTTCCGTTTTATAATGTGATGCGATCTGATCTGCTTGTTTGTTTGAAAAATGATATTTATACAGTGGATACTGATTATTGTGTTCTGGAATGAACGGGCTGTGATAGGAGAGAAGCTACTCCATTGATTTAGAGTGGAATTAAGGCTACTAGTGCTGGTTGGCATGTCATTGGTTAGTTAGGGAACATGGTCATAGAAATCGATATTCTGATGAGTGGTTTGTCACGTGATACTTGACAATGCCATAAGTGATAACAAGCTTCTGAACCGCTGAGTTGGCATCCATTTGTGTACACGTCTAACTTCAACCGATAAACGATATCGCGCGATCATGTTCATTGCCTGTGGCGCATCACTATTTCAAACGTGTCACTCTTGAGCCCCACTAGGACTGCGAGGGTTGTATCCTGAAGCTAGTCACTAAAAATCAAATGGTTATTATTCGTATAGAGACGATGGATGTCCTTTTCTAATAAATAACACGGAAAGAGACGAAGAAACACGACTTCTTTGAGTGATGAAGCTACAATAATTTAAATGGTGGTACTATATTGAACCAAAAGCTTTGGTAACTCGGAGAAGTTTTACGAATATTTTTCGAGGCTTTCTAATAAAGCATTATTTTCTGACGATAAGACTAGGCGAAATGAACGAATATATGAACAGCTTATGAAACAGTACAGTGTCATGAAGAGTATCTGTATGGGTCTATCACGACTCCCTAGATAAGATTCTAAAGATCGTGCAACTCGATGACTGATAATGTTATCATACACCTTAGGATAAAAGGTTGTGAGAATTATGGTATGACTTTTCCACGGACAATGGAATGAACTACGCCAACAATAAGGTTTAAAATTTTCTATGGAAGTATAACCGATTTTAAGATTATAGCATATTATTGGCGAGGTCTCAGGCAGGTATATATCAAAGTTGAAGGTAAATTTATTTGATAAATACCAACAGTCATAAAGCCGTCGGATAAAAATACTCCATCGCTAGGAAACTGATCTGTTAGGCCACAATTAAAAACGTGGAAGCATTGGACGCCGTGACCAGTGGAGATAATTAGTATTAAGTATGAGACAGTTACCCACCGAACATAATGGAAAATAATAGCGCAATATTGTGGATTGATTGAAGTTACACATTAACACCGTTAGATGCCGACTAGGTGGTCTAGATTTTAAGTGTTCGCATACAAGACCGAAGGTCCTCATTTCGGTCCTCGCGTGCAGAATCATGGATGAGCACCGCTGAGGAGTCCCATACTAGGAGGGTAACGACCGTCCAGTGCTCAGATGTTTTTAGTGGTCTAACTTAAATCAGTTTATAGCTTCAATAATCTCTATAACCCCCTAATGATACTACGTCTGTTTTGAACTTTGAATAACACTTTGGTTGATTCAAGGAACTAGTGTATGCTACCCAGCTGGTTAAATCAGACCAATTAGAATATAATTTAGACCTGTGAGTGAACAATTTAGGGTTAAATATTTATGTTATATCCCGACGGAATTATGAATAGTAACTTTTGAAAACTACATATGGACCAATACGATCCATTTGTTTTTACTGTGTAATTGTTAAGTAGCTAAACTATGCATATTCGTGTTCCTCTTACTAAAAGCTTTATTTTGACCCATAGACTATTATTATGAGATTTACCATCTTTGAGTTATGCTCAGTCTATTAATTATAGTTTCCCGCATTTACAGTCTTTTTTGGTTAGATCTTGTACAAATGTTATTTTCTATTTTATGGTACGACATGGTCTGTTTGGTTTTTGCATAAATCCAGTATGTTTGAGATACATGACTCATATCGCAGAGGCTGAGATTGATGTTGTGGACTCAACAGTCAGGGCTAGGCAGAAATAATAACTCTGGACTGCTTGTACGGGTTTAAGCATCATTGGTTCGGCTGATAAGTCACTATTCTCTAATTAGCGGCACAAGGCCGCAAGTTATAACAATTTATAGTAATTTAAAAAGATCAACACACTAGAAAATTACAACTTACAAGAATTTTTTGTAAAATCTGTTTAACTGGAGTTGATAGACAACTAGTAGTAATTTCTTTTCTAGTTGATTGAAAATTATTAGTTAATAGTTGATTACCAGCAGAGATTAATTCATCTTGATAAAGAGAAATAAATGGAGTTATATATTTCCAATAATTTAAATATTGATAGTTTGCTTCATTTTCAATAGTATCAGATTTCATTGTCTCATCATTATGAACTATAGATTGTAACCATGCAAGTAACCAATAAGGTGGAGTTAATTGACAATTATTAGTTGAATGCTTTAAATATGTTTGAATTATCTGAAAATTTATTTTATTAAATATACATTCATATTGTACAATATTTTTAAATTTATTCTGTTCTGAATAACAATTAACATTGACTGTATTATCTTTTCGATAGGATGATGATGATGAACTGACTAAATTTGATTTTACTGAAGTTATAATAAATGACGTTTGAGACCATGCCCATGAATAGGCTGTTTCTAAAGATGTAGCAACTATGTTGTGCAATGATTCAGTAGATTTATTTTGTGTATGAAGTTCTTGAATTTCCTTTTTGTATAAAGACAAAAAAAAGATTATACTGAATGGACTCATAGATCTTAAAAATTAATATTTTTAAAGTTAACACCAAAATGAGTTATGGAATTTAAAAAAGAGGTTATTGATAACAGAATAAAAAATTCGAATACTGGTTAATATGGCTAGAAAGTGACGTGAAGATCCCAGGTTAAATGTTGTGTCTGTACAGCTGTAGTTACAAACTTGAGCGAAACAGCTTTTCAGTAGTCCGTAGAATTCAATGGTTCGCTGATCAATGTCTTTTTTTTTACAAAAGCCATCTCTAAATTAAACAAATCTTAATAAACTGTCTAACTAAATAATAATCATGCCGTATAAGCAGAAACGGATGGTGGCTAGCAGTGGAATCTAGGATGCGCGTCTCGTCCTATTTGGAACCCGTCAGCTGGATTTATCTGCATCCCGGAGTTGATGTTCACAAAGGAACTCGAATCTCATACAGCCCTAAATATTATTGAGAAGATTCAAACAACCAATACAAAAATGAATCAAAACTTCACCCCATTGTATAAGTTAGTGGTTATTTGGACTCAGTAGCTAAGTGCATAATGCGATGGCGTTTGAAGTAAACGGTACTGGGTTCCAGTCCCGGAATGAACATCAACTCTAGGATGCAGGTACATCCAGCTGACGGGTTCCAAATAGGACGAAACGCACATTCTAGATTCCACTGCTAGCCACCATCCATCTCTGCTTGCAATTTAAGGCAATATCCAGGCAATCCGCACAGGATGCATATATACCAATAAGAGACTGATTAATTACGATCCTAAACATAAAAAAAAGTAATCATGCCTTTATTGGTTCTAGCGAGAACTCGTAATTGGTGGAATTAAACAGTAACAGTTAATCAGAATGTCTAACGTTTATATAATTCGGTTATCTAAAGTAAATAATTTTCTGAGTACATGATTTACAAACCCCTAAATGAGTGAACAAAACGAACGTACGCTATTAAAGTCATGTTAGTCAGACTATTAGGCATTGTAAATGTCCGTGGTTTTCAATTACGGTTAGCAATATTTAATTTGACAATATTGTGATGTGTACCTTTTATGCAAACAGACATAATTAGTATGTAGCGGGAATTAAAAGTGTTTACCAGCAGAATGATAAAATAAAGAGAGGAAAAAGCGAAACGAAGAGCAATCAATATAACACCAGGATCGGAAGAATGATAAATCATGTAAAGGACGATTGAAGGAAGACATACAAATGATGTGTTTCATGCATGATTTTCATACTTTACCAAAGGACTGTGTGACTTTACATAAAACCGTAAATTGGTTTTCCTGATCTCAATATACAAACGACGAAATTGATCTATATATATCAAGCATAAAGCAGTAGCCAACTAAAGATTTGAGAACTGAATTATAAGTAATACTTACTTAGTGTGTGGTCTAAAGACAGAACTCAGTTACCTTGGAATAAGGTATGAATCTGTGATTCAACAGGAGAAAATCAAATACTTTAAGTAAATAAGTACAAAAGCAAAAATGTAAATCAGTCATAAAGAACAAGCTTGTGTACTGAACAACGACATCTGTCTATTATTATTAGACTATACAAATCAAAAGGGAATGCAGTCGGATTAGAACTTGCAACCCAACTATTAAACATCTATTTAACTAAAATTAACTAATATAATAATACTACTAACAAAATATGATATAAACATATATGAATAAGTGAAGTAATTACTTTAAATTTAAACTGGAAATTCTCATAAACTGATGTATTAATCATTTTCGATTTTAATTTGTAATTATCTACACCAGAAGGATTCGATTGTTCATTCGGTAAGAAACATTTCAATCTATCCCAATATTCCAATTGAATCAATAAATCAAGTAAGAGAATAACTGATAACTGATTAAAACAATCTATTGAATCTAATAACATATTCATAATAATAATAATGATATTATTTAATGAATATGAATAAGGAATAGAATTAGTCAATTCTATAAACATTCCAATTAAGAGATAAGGGAAAAATAATGTTAAATCGATTGGCATAGTTTTTGAAGATGATGATGTTAATGAAAATGACGAAATTGAATTTTGTGGAAATTGATAAAGTCTATGTAGAAACTGTTGTAATTGTTGTTGTCGTCGTTGCTCGTCGCTTTCCGATGATAACAATAATGATGCTGTTGCCGATGAACAATCAAATAAATCATGAAATAATTCTTTTAATTCTGGCCATGATAAATTTGTAAATATTGGTTGGTTATTTTCATTAGAGTATAATGATGGAATACATTTACAAATAATAAAAAATGTACGTAATGTCAACTTGAAATGTTTATAAGAGAATATTGATCTTAACAATTTATTCAACATTGGTGATTGTGGTTGCCAAAAATTACAATCTTTTGTAGTTGACGAAGTGAGCATCACGCAATTATCATTCTTGTTAATTGTTGAATATATAGTTTGTAATGATAACATTACAAACGAAATGATTGGATTCAATAATGATGTTCTTAATGATTTTTTCTGATCATATTTATTTTTTTGAATCAAGGCATCTAATTTGAACCAGATTTGATCAATGTATTCTTTAAGTTTGGACGAATCTGTACCGATTAAGTAGTTCTGATCATATTTTGAACCGGGAATAATTAAGCGTAGTAATAATTCTGCAGCCCAATCGATTATATCTTTTATAGTGGATAAACTCTGATCAGGATTTGATGAGAATGATGATGAAACGGGGATATTTTCTACACTATGAGTACGGCGTGATAACTCTGATGCAACATGTGTTAGTCTATTCAAACCGCTTGATTTAATTCGCAATCGTTGTTGACTAATGTGCAAAGACGAAAGAAATTGATCAGTCAAGGTGGCGGTTAATACATTCACAGAAGATTTCGCAGATTTATACACATTCGACACCTGAATTTGTAACAAAAAACAAGAAAGAAAGGCTAGTAATAATTAAGTAATTCGGAGCTTTTATCTTCACACGTACATTTTGAAAATACTCTAGAATTAAGGTTACGGTTTACAGTGATTCTAAGTATAAATTCATTTATAATGATCAACTTTTTAGACTTGATCTAGGTCACTTTGGTAGGATAGACCAACTATCAAGCCAAATAAAGTGAAAGCTGTTAACAAGGCAAACTTCATGTAACCTCTACAAAAATTATTAGACAACAGTCACTTTGTATTAAATCCAAATATGATAGTAAGAAAAAACAATCAAAAAGTAGTACTGATGTCAGGACAATTCTACTGTATGGGGCGGAAACTTGGAGAATTACGAAAGCCATCACCCAGAAGATACAAGCGTTTATAAACAGTTGTCTACGCGAAATATTTCGGATCCGATGGCCAGACACTATCAGCAACAACCTGCTGTGGGAGAGAACAAACTAGATCACAGCGGGAAAAGAAATCAGGTAGAAGCGTTGGAGGTGGATAATAGGACACACATTTAGGAAAGCACCAAATGGGTCACAAGGCAAGCCCTCACATGGAATCCTCAAGGCCAAAAGAGAAGAGGAATATCAAAGAACACATTACGTCGAGAAACGGATACAGACATGAGAAAAATGAACAACAATTCGATAGAACTAGGAAGGAAGGTCCAGGACAGAGTGGGTTGGAAAATTATGGTCGGCGGCCTATGCTCGATTGGGTGTAACAGGCGTAATTAAGTACTGATAGATAGGTAATAGAATATAAACAGTTAATTAATTTATTCATTTCACTAACCAATTTCCGGTTAATTAATTTAGATAAATGAAAATGTGATAGATCAGACATGTGTTTATCTACAATTTCACATAATCCCAAAGCCATATCCAAATGCAATTTGAGTGGAATAAATGGTTCTTGTGACTGCTATAGGAAACAAGAAATAAGCAAAAAAAGATCAGGTACAATAACATATTATCAGAAATAATGGTTTTCTTTTTGAAAAAAATAAAGAAAACCTAATAATTCCTAATCTCATGTAGTATGTGATGAAGATAAACTTGACCAGTGGAGTTCATCCATGTCGGGTGTGAGACAGTTACCCACCGAACATAATGGAAAACAATAGCGCAATATTGTGGATTGATTGAAGTTAGACATTAACACCGTTAGATGCCGACTAAGTGGTCTAGATTTTAAGTGTTCGCATACAAGACCGAAGGTCCTCATTTCGGTTCTCGCGTGCAGAATCATGGATGAGCACTGCTGAGGAGTCCCATACTAGGAGGGCAACGACCGTCCAGTGCTCAGATGTTCTTAGTGGTCTAACTTAAGTCGGTTTATGGCTTCAATGAAATTCAATAATCTCTGCAAACCCATACTGATGATATCCTTCAATTAAGTAATTTGTTTTATAAGTGATGGATAGTTTAAGGATACTCAGGAAATGAATTCATAGAACACCGTTGCCGTGGATATTTGCTAAATGGTTGACACTCAAGTATTATCTACATTCCCTACCCAGCATAGAAAGTCAGATAACAGACTGTATCTTTCAGGTTTCTGTTCTCAAATTGGCCAAAAAAGTAGTCTTAGTGTTGAAGATCATCTTATACATTTCGTTAAATATATAATGATGTCTTACTACTTTACTTTTTGACTGGATACTGACCATACACTAAGTGGTAACCAATACCGTGTTTGCTTAGTTCTTAATGGTGATTGAATGCTATCCCTTGGAATCTTGCCAATAGTTAAAGTGACTTGGTATTGTACGTACTAGTTTTGATGTCGAATAGTATAAAATGGTCAGGAGAAAGCCCCGTTTGACCTAGGTTTCTTGCTAGTCGGGACTGATTGGGATGACGAGTCTTCAATCTTGGTGGAACTGATTCTTCATGCGGAAATCGAAATCACGTTACCAAGTGCCATAGTTCAAATGAAATTTAGTAATTAAATAAAAATTCGTATATTTGGCTTTGGGATAAAAAAATGTTGTGTAAGAGATTATTTTACCATCATGCTTCTCAAATAAGCGTAGGTTAGCACCTATAACTCAAGGATTGACAATCGAGTGCTTTAAACACCAAATCAACACCTTCGCAGTTAAGTATAATAAGCAAATAGAATTGTAGGGTGCTTTTAAATCATGAATTATGTATTAATGTTAAGAGTTTAAATCGACTGTGAGCTAATCAGTCTATATGGTGCAGCAGAATAAAGACAAGGTAAAAATCATTACTAAGGAAAACTGGTGAAGATTATTGAACTTCACAGCTGACATCAGGAATTAATTTTAGTTATTTAAGGATTAAATCGATGAAACTCCTTCATAGTAATAATAATCATGTGAGTACCGGTGACTGATTTTGAGAGGAGATTCCTAAAGTTCTAGTGACAAGCCGTGATTAATGGAGTTCAACCTTGTACGGTGAGAGGCAGTTACTCACTGAAGGAAATGGAAGATAGTTTCACAATGTCGCGAATCCATTGAAGTTAGATATGCAAGTCATTATGTGCAGGCTCAGTGATCTAAAGGTTAGGCGCTCGTTACGAGGCCTGACGGTCCTGGATGAGATCCCCGATAAAGTTGTGTATGAACACTGCTGACAATTATCACATTAGAATGATTCAGCTGTTTAGTATTTCCTGGTTTTCAATAAGTATCTAACTAAGATCAGTCCGTGATGAAAACTATGAAGTTGGTTTAATTCAGTTCATATAGTTGTTTTCCCTCTTCACATATAGTAATGAACTCAGTAGAGCGGGATACCGTATCCAAAGTAACTGGAAATTCAAAATTAGCATCGACTTTGCTGTAGTTTATCTTTTGAACAATAACAACAAGAAAAAATACAGCAGTGAGATACTTAGAATTAAAAATATACCCTGCAAGAAGGTGATTTTACATCGTTTTTCAGGAGAACTACAAACTATCCGGGCTCTTTACAACTTAAATAGCACAGCACATTTCTATCGACTAACCACACAAATACCTAGAACCCCGGTGGACCAGTATGGTATTTCATAAACCGAAGGAAACTTACAAGATCCTTGAATGCATCCCAGCTGAAACGTGATAAAAACAAACGACATAATTTGTGTAGAAAACAATTCGCTTCATAATGACTAAGTGAATTGATTAAAAATTCTACTTCTTTGTTATTTGGTTGCATAATATGAAATGGTGCTTCAATGACTAATTGAAGTAAAATCTGAAAAATGGTGAAAAGCATGGGTAAAAGCGATATGATAAAAAAAGACCCAATATTTTGATTAATGAACAAATATACTGTTTGGGGGAGCTAACTAAACCAATGTTACAGTTAATCTAACAAGACAATAATACCTGATTATTTGAGACAAAATAAATGAAGTTAAATAAAAACTATCACGTAAGACGGTTGGCAATAGAACCGTTTATAAAATAAAGATATTATGATTGGGAATCAGTTCTCTTTAAAGGAGAAAAGTAATGACTGGAAAACTAGTGTTACAAGACTATACAAACGATACAATAAGCAAATCATCATCATATATCCATATACTGTAGCTTTAGCAATGCTAAAGTGTTAAAAGAAAGTTAGAGGCGGCCAAACCAAAACGTGGCATCAGTGCCTGAAGTCACTAACTTGTAGTCTGAGCCATGTTGGTAGATGCAGACTACTTGGTTGGAGTCTGAGTAACTATCGTAACCAATGGTTGGAGACTCTGGGTGACATGGCTCAGAATCGATCACAATGGCGTCGGTGTATACACTCTCTGTCTTCCCTTAAACTAAGAGATTAAAATCGCTTCATATCTTTCTTTCTACGAACTAATTCTTTCTTTCTGTACTATCCTTACATAAAACCTTTCTTTTATATATTACACCATTGAGATAACGGCTTCTATCAATCCGGTGTTCGTCTTGCTGTGTTAATGAGGTGTGACGACTTGAACCGATGCATGTATATGCCTGGTCCTACGTTGTAACTGACTGACTGATACTGTAGATGGTTTAAATCAATGAAGATTCATAGAAAGGTATGCTAACTTTTTCTCGTTAGGAAAATACCGTCTCCTATGTTTACACTACTTAATCTACAGGCTTTATTACACATGCAATGTACTTCAAAGATGTTCATGATTAAAAACCTGCAAACAACTTATGTCTTTCATTTTCAGCGATCGTAATTTACAGGTGGAGGATAGTACAGAGTACATAACAAAGCACTATATAAACATTTTGATAGCTATTCAGATGTCTTGCTAGTATCTTACACTACTTGCAATGGAAGTAGTAGGATATGTGAAATAGTCGAGTAAATCTGTCTTCATAAAATAATTATAAAAGTATCATCTAATATTTGCATATAGAAAAATAAAATAAACTGTTTGTAGATTTCTTCTAAGAGTATTCGAATAACCAAGCATCTCGCAAGTGTTCTCACATAAGCTGTTCAAAAATATTTCTGTCTGAGAAGTTAGAAGTGTGAGTTAGGTGAATAGTTACATTTTGGATAGAATCAAACATAAACAGTGTCAGTAGGTATACTTCAACTGATAAGATGCAAAACTGACCATAACAATATTGTGGCTATTCATCAATTAAATCTTGGATATGTTAATCTAAAAATTGATTATTTGTCTGCTCATATTAATTTACTTTATTCCAAAATTATTCTTGTTCAGGTCGTATTTTTCCTTTGTTCCTCGGTGCCATTTCTTAACTATGATGCTTCGTATTCTACTGTCGATTTATCGAGGTGACCTCAGGCAGTATAACAGGTTTAAAGGCTATTACATCCTAAATTGGAAACCCGCCACCTCTGTGTTGATAAAGACTAAGAAAAAAGTCAAGAAACAACTGCCCGCGTTCACAATGTTTACAACAGTTAGTACATCAACTATTCTCAATAATTATTTGTATCCATTTTTCGAAAACAAAAACATTTTCAAGAAGACAAGTAGTTTTACTACAAAATTTAATGAATAATGATACACATTATTTCATTCTGTTATTAAAATACAGTAAAAAAAACTTACATCTTCCACTCGCACGTACTGATCACTAAAGCATAAATTCAATTGACTTATTCTATCATGTAGTTTTGATGTTAATAATGGATTCGTTGTTAAATCTAATGCACTTTCAATAATAAGACTATAAAGTAAATGTAAGCATATTTGTGGATGTTTATTCGACATTTCGATTAATTGCTTACATCCATATTTTGGTGATATAGGCAGTAATGAGAGAACAGTAATGGAAGAATCCGAAGTATCAGAAGATGATGCAGAATGTTTAATGTTAATCTTGTCTTTTCGATTAATCAAATCATTCGGTCTATGATAGACAGATAACTAAAATAAATAGAATTTCACAATATTATGCTTTAAACTGAAAAAAACCCCAACATACTGAAAAGTATTATTACTTTCTTTTAAAACTAATTTGATAATAACTCACTAAGTACAGGTTTCTAAAGTCAACTTCACGTTATGTGGTGTGTGTGCGGGAGAGGAGAGGAGGCTCAATCGCACGTTCGCCTTAGGATCATCAAGTTACTGGTTCAAAACACACTACACTTAATTCATTTTAGGCGAAGTATGGTATCAAAAATGTTAACGACCATAGTTTGACTGGAAACCAAGTAGATTAATCTAAACGAGTTGGATTTGTGATGGATATTTATATAAACCAGATGCTTAAAATAAAGCAGACAAAGTTAGGTGGAAACCTGCTACACACTTTTTTATGCAATTTATTTATTTACTTGAACACATAGATATTGGTACAAGGGGGTAACAAATACATATGCACCACACAAGTCACTTGACTTGTGCGTGGGCTGTGATACTCTCCGGGTGCCCAGACCGAAGCAGGTGGCTTTCTTAAGAAGCCATATCCGGAGCCTTTAACCTAAAGGTCTAATCCACGAGGCAGTGGAGCAACGTAAGGAGATGCAGTCCCATAGTCGCCGGTGGCTAACGATTGGTTCATACGCTATTTGTTCTGACAGGACCCTGGAGCCCATGTGCACCACTGGTTTGGAGTCAAGGTTTTTCAACTCCCCTGGGTGGATCCTCCATATTCATGCAAACGACCCAACCAAAAAATCCCCATTTTGACGCCATTAGCAAACATCACTGGTACATTGAATGTGGGAGTAAGAGCAGTACTGCAGCAGTTAGTAAATGGCACATGGGAACCACTTTTATTTTTCTCAAAGAGATTGATTCCTACTCAGACGGAGCATAGTACGTTCGGAAGAAAATTGCTAGTTATTTACTTGACGGCAAAGCATTTTCGACATACGGTAGAAGGTACAAAACAGATCATACACCTCTTATGAAAGCATTAAGTAACAAACAAGATAACTATTGTCTGAGAGAAATTCGACAGAATTTATTCTCCAATTTACGTCTAGTATACTATGTATTAAAGGCAATTATAACGAAGTAGCAGGTGTGCTATCTAGAACAACAATAAACACGCTCATTCCAGTTGAAATTTATATCACAATCTAGCGGCATTGCAAAAGGCGGATGTTGAACTAAACAGGATAAGATTCGATAACAATACTTTGTTGGTATTCGAAGAAATTCAGTTCGGTATTGTAAAAATAATGTGACATGTCAACAGGCCGACCGCAACCGTTCATTCAGAAACCATTACAACAAGAGGTATTCAAAATTATGCATAATATATCGCATCCTGAAATAAAAACCAAGGTCAAACTAATCGTATGACTAAACATGAATAGGGATGTGCGTAATTGGACGAAGACATGCATGAAATGTCAAAGTCCACAGTCGTACTAGATCTACAGTGTGTTCTTCCCCTCACCTCGACACTAGGTTTAAACATAAACACATCGATATCGTAAGACCACTTCCAATTTCGGATAGCTACAACTATACTTTCCCATGCATCGATGGAATGTAGCGGTGCCGATAAAGGACACCTCAGCCGAGTCTATATCCAAAGCCGATGGCGAATGGTATGGTTGAACCCCTGCATAGACAGTTAAAAGTGCCTTATAAGACTTTCCTTATAAACAATGACTGGGCCAATAAGCTTCGTCTTGTCATGTTGGGTTTAAAAACAACAAATAAACAGGATATTGGATGTTGTCCAGCAGAGTTGGTATATGGAACTACTGTTCGTTTACCCGGAGGATTTTTCGCTTCAGGTAAATGTTCCGACTGATGTAGTCAACTATGTACAACGCCTAAAGAAGCATACGAACGATTTAAAAATAAAGATTTCTAGACCACAACGACGACGAGTATTCGTATCGCAGCAATTGCATAATAGCACTCATGTGTTTATCAGAAGAGATAATATACAACCCTCTTTGCAGCCGACTTATGATGGTCTGTTTAAAGTGATGGATAAGACAGGTAAAACAATTATCGTAGAATAAAAGACCGTCGCATATTATATATATATAATGAATGAACGACTTGAAAATTATCAAATATTTTGCTTACCCCAAATATAATACGCATAATACACTTGATTAGTGAAACTTCATCTTTAGGTAATTCATATCTATACGATGTATTCACTGGTTCCGTTGTAGGCATATTATTATTATATATCATTCTTGGACGACATTCCAAAGAGGCTAATTTACCCAATACACTAATCACTACTGAAAGACCAAGCTCGTTAAATCCCATTAATAATAAAACACGATGTAATTTATTCAATATCAAATTAGGTAAAACATTTTCCAAATCGTCAGTATTATCCATGATATATTCTTTCATCAAAGTATAAACCGAATCTTCATTAATTTTATTATGAGTATTACTTTTGTCATTATTTTGTAAAATTGACTTTAAAAGAATATAAAATAATTCCTTTTTGGTTTTAACCATGGTCAAGCCCAATGGTAGTGTGCACGCTAAATTACGCCAACATGTAAGTTGACCAGCTTTTTGATAAGCGTCAGGCAGACCACTACCAGACAATAGAAGACAATTCACTGCACGAATACACAATGAATCATATTGTGATAAGATTAATGCAAATTGTTGGGAATTTTGTACATGGTGATATTGTTGTTGATATACAATAGTTTGTATACGAAATCCAATTGATATAAGTAATAACCTTTAAAATTCAAGATAAAAATAATAAAAGAATTATTATTAATAGTAGGATGTATGTGAGAATTGATTCATAGTTAGGTTTGAAGGATAATTTTCAGGAAATTTAACAAGCCTCTTAAAAAAGCCAGTGTTGAACCAAACAACACAGTATAAGGTTAATAATGATATTGGAAAGAAGTCTTTTAAGGCTAAAAACACTGATGAAATAAGTAGATTAATTGAGATAAACATTACGTCTAATATAAATTGATCCAATTCTTGAAGAAACAACACTGCCCTAAATAAGAATACTGACAAAAGCTCGGTTGAACGTGGTTGATAAGATCGATATATGATAAGCTTGAACTACCAATAGCTATTATCTCTACATTATAACTGTGGAGTATAATAAAACAGAATTGACAATAAGAAGAATCTATTATTGTAATTGATTGGATTCGTTGGAAAAATTAGGGTCAGATAAAATACTTTCAGTAAAAAAGGCCAACACGACAAATTAGCTAATATTTACCAAAAATAAACTTTCAAGTGAATTTCACGTGCATAAATAATATACCTGCTTTTTACAAATGAGCATGTTTTGGCGAAAAAATTTTTCTATGCTTGCTACTAAGATACGTAACCTGATAGAAGTAAGTTAATATTCACTCTGTTACTAATAATATGGTGTTAGGTCTGCTCATATTGAGTATTGACGTTAGTGAATGAAGTATAAATATGTTTGCCAAACAAACCATACTTTAAATTGAGTGTTTAGCAAAGTTGACTTTAGAGAGATTGATCAAAACGAAAGCAACCCATGGCGCTATGGAAGAAAAGTTAACGAAAATTCAGGGAAGAAAATTTTTATTGAGTATATCATTGATCTAAGCCGTGTAATTGTATTTATAATTAACTGACAAAAATAAAATAGTCTATTGAAAAATGTGAAAACGAATACATCATATCATGTGTCAAAGAAAGTTGGTTAACGATCAAGAATTTAAAGAAGGATAACGGGTTGAAATCAAATGTGTGAAAGATAATTGTCCCTTAGCAATCAAGCTACTGCTTATGAAAATAGTTATGACAATAGTTCAGCAATAACTAACCTGATAACACGTGCTAGTCGTTTAGCCAACGAGCGCCATGAACCTAAATGCGTTTGTGGACCTGGTGGTAGAACGTAGTCTGAATAGATTTTTTCACATGCTTCAACTAGGCTAAGCACACGGTCAGCAAATGCAATTGAAGTCATGAATCCAGATTCATTAACTGAAAAATGCTGAATATTTTCACATTTTGGTATGTAATCGTAAGCTAAGAGTTGTAAAACACGTTCAATTCTTAATTGACCAAGCAAACAGCTTAAATCCTTCGGATTTAAATATGTACATGATTCTAGATTAGGATTATAATCAGACAAAAGAATACAAATATCATATTGTGTACTGATGGGACTTTTATTCTTCTTGTTAACTTCAATGCCCTTGGGTTCTTCTTCTATATCGCTTTCACCAGCTGAATCAACCGTTGTCCAAATTGTATCATTTTGACTGAATGATGAATCTGTCTGTTGCTTACATGATCCGATGTTTACAGGCGTAACAAAACGTGCGCGTTCTCTAGATGTTAAAAGAGATAAAAGAAGGAAAAGTACAGATGTTCAAATGTATCGAATGAGATCTGGCGGAAAAATAATTGAATATTTAGGAGTTCTATGAGTATTACACTACTTTAATATGATCGAAATAGAGATACCATGAAACACAACAGTAACTTTGCTTACATCCCCTCAGATTTGAGCCATGAAGTTCATGTGAGCTAGTTTTGCTAATTCTCTAAAATAAAGTAGGTGGACGTGGGTTCAAGTTCAAGAACCAACAGCCGAGTGTTTAGTCACTAGATCATTGATGGAGTAAAATTGAACTAACTGAATTTATTATTTACTTGAACACATAAACATTGGTACAAATGGGGTACCAAATACACATGCACAATAACAATTAGGCCAGGAGTAGTTATCATTGATTTGTGTGAGAGCTGTGATACACTCCGGGTGCCCAGACCGAAGCAGGTGGCTTTCTTAAGAAGCCATATCCGGAGCCTTCAACCTAAAAGTCTAATCCACGAGGCAGTGAAGCAACGTCAGGAGATGCAGTCCCATAGTCGGCGGTGAACAACGACTGGTTCATACGCTATTTGTTCCGTCAGGACCCTGGAGCCCATGTGCACCATTGGTTTGGGGTGAGGGTTTTCCAACTTCCCTAGGGGAACCCTACGTGTCCTCTCAATTTCATAGACAACACCTCCACTATGAGAAGGCAGTGAGTAGGACTTCCCCGGAAGTGGCTGTATACACGTGGCCATGTGAGAGCATTTCGAGAGGGGAAGCAGACCCTCCCCACCCTCAGCCGCACCAAGGCATTTGGGGCAACGCGACGCTTTATTTATGTCACGTATAAATCGACTAATTCTCGAAATAAGTACACCAAGCAAAACCTAAATGGTAATTAATGATTAAATAGATATTTTGCTAAGATTCTATCACAAAGTTGAGGATTAGAGTGCAAACAATGTGTTGGGACAGAAAAAAGCCGATATTGTTCATAGATCAATGCTCAACACTGATATCGGAATAGTTTGACCGGTGGATTTAAACAGAATGATCTAGGCTTATCGTTTATCTAACAAGATGTAAAGATTTTCGTTTCAATTTCAGTCAGAAGTGAGTAAGTAGTGTTGTTCAGTAGTCAAAAACTAATGTCGGATTTTTAATACTATTTTGTTTTACTATGGTCGTACAACTAATAACAATTTCGAATGTTGATTATCTTAAGTAAATGGGACAATTACAACACCGCCTACCAAAATTTAAGTCATGGAATATTATCTTGACAACGGCACAGTTAACAGTTTCTAGTCGTACGTAAACATAATACAAGTAGGATATACTAATTCATAGTCGGGGAGAACGAGAAGTTTAGTGAATAAATCCTTTCAATGAGTGAACATGCTTAGCGTGAGGCCAGTAAACTAATGAAACAAAAATTCAGGGTATTTCCAAAATATTCTTAGTGCTCTAAGCGCTCATCAATAAGATACGATCTGATAAACCGACGTTTCAGATTTTCCAAACTATTTCAAGAGTCAGCAAATAATGTACGATATGGAGGTCGTACCACATGTCCAAGTCGCCGAAGCCAGTGCTTCTAGATCGTGCCACCTAGTACGTCACTATTATTATTATTATTATTATTATTATTATTATTATTATTATTATTATTATTATTGTAAGCAAACGCACGATGCCGAAACTTGATATGGTATATGACAATATTCAATTTGTGTAGGTCACTGGGTGTCTCAACTTACCGGACAGGACGTAAACAAATTGCAAATAATGTCAGTATAAGTTCAACTTCTGGTTGATTTAAAAATTCTACAAGATTTTTTGTTCTTTCCCAAGCAATAATTGGATCTGGAGGTTGTAGTAAACATGCGAATAACTTGATTAACTGTGATGGTAAACGTAATAATTGCATTAAAATATATATGTGATCTTCCGATCTACAAGCACGAACAGTTACACCAGCCTATGAAAAAAATTATGTGAAAAATGACACATTTTATCGAAACAAATTAAGCTATAATCAATTATTTAGAGGTGCTGGGTTTATGTCGATTTGATATATAGTGTTAACTATACTGTATCTATCATGAGTTAAGTTTTTCATGGGTAATTTTCACTAAAAATTGAAATCAGTTGAAGAATTAAAGTGTAATTCAGAAAATTGTGTTCACTAGTAATTGACTTCAAAATGAATTGATCGAGACTATACAGTCGACAGTTACAATCTGTGAAGTAAACCAATCTGATGGTTCTTTAGTGTTTTTTAGGTTTGATGAGTCTTCTTTGAATTGCATAAATCCTCTACAAAATTACTTCAGCGAGTCATTTTTCATCAGTCGTTTCCTGGTTTGTTTTGGACTAAAGACAGTAATTTTTAGCTTCACTTACGAAACCGATATACTACAATTCACCTTTTTCTCAAAAAGATATTTTGCAAAGAAAATTGGTGAGGCTATAGGTTATGGACGAACCAATCAGGTATTAATAACAGGTCTCGGATTTTGGCGTGAAACTCAATCATCCATTTGACTAAATAGGGTTTGGGCATTATAGCTGATGTCAGTTCGTGATGAAAACCCCAAATCTAATTCCTAACCTTAATCATCAACTGTAAATCATAATTCTTATTCCTCACGCAGGTCTATAACCCTCATTTGGTCCTAGGTATTAGGTGAACACACTCTTAAATGTCGTCCATAAATTACAGTCTCACCAGAAAATTTATTTGGTAAGAACGAAAGATTAGTTTAAGCGAGTAACACACGCGTATGAACATATCTGCAAGAACAATATCACAAGGCCCCAAATGTAAATTCAAACCAAAGGTCAGTTACATAAACTTGTACTTGGTAAATAAATAACATTATAAGGTTTGGTAAAACAGTATTCAAATCTTAGTAACTGAAAGTAAGCTATCACGAAATAATGTTTGACTTAGAAAGAAATTTTTAAAACCAAAACCTGTTAAACAAGAAATAATTTTAAATGAAGCCAATCAGACATTATTAGTTAGTTAACTTACAGTTAAAATTAACCAATTTGATAAATGTTTGAGAAATGTCGGATCATGAGTACGACCAGCATATTGATTTGACCAAAATTGACGCAAACAAGCAAAGAGAATAGAGCATGTTGATCGCATTTCATTTAGTTGAACTAGATGTGCAGAGTCAACTTTTGAACCGATCACTGAAATGTTCATAGAATAATTGAGTTTTATTTTATATGGGATTCTCCATTTTTACTAAAGTTTATAATGAAATATGCACTCTATCTTATCGCAGATGAATAAAAAGCAAAGAAGTGACCTTAAATGTATGTCACTGCGGTAGGTCAGTAAAAAATCTAGAAACTGAGAAATAATGGTGGTGAGTAGTTGTTAACTAGGTACATTATTAAATGTTTCGAGGCCGACATTACACGACGTCGAGTGAACAAAATCTAGTCGATCTTACAAGTAACTAGCTGCTATTGTGAAACATGGATACAAAACCGAAATCTCGAGGCAAAGTATTAAGAATTGCCGATCACTAAATTTTAATTACACTGTATTTTGTGACTGTTTCAGTGTACACTAGTGAACCTAAACTGATTTCATATCTGGGCTAAATCACAAATTTAACGAAACTAACCAAAACAAACCAAAGAGTCAAAAATCACTGCCTGAATGGTATTGAAATTTGAATAGCGTGGGTTTGATTTTGTTTACCATCGTGTATAGAAAGTGCTATGGAGTTGTGAACTAAAACAAAACGCATCTATTGCACTTTCTTGTTTTCCATCATCTTTCAATACACCCTATCTATACTTCGTCGGAACATATAATTTCAAGGAAATTCAAGAGTACGAACGCTTGTTCTAGTAATAAATAGACAAATCATAATGATGGATTGGAAATCTATTAAAAAAGCATCAGAAATCCAAGTTTATACACGCTGGCGTAACTGTACCATAAAATTAAAAATGACAATTTCTCAAATTCAGCATAGTAATTGCAGACTAAATCTTAATGTCCAATGTACATATATTATGCAGTGAATGTTTATAATGAATAAAAGAGATTACTTAATACAATTTCGGACGGTCTAACAAAAGTAATATTTTAGAATGGATTTATATAAAAATAGTTAATTCTTCTTGACCAGAATAATTTCAAAATTATACATTGAATTAGTTTATAATATGTTTAATCGATCCTTAGTCTTTTGATAGTTTTTGCAAAATAGTATAACCAGAAGCGGCAAAGCTGAATAACATAGGAAGTAAACAACCCGTGTCATTGATAAATGTTAGATCTATTCAGTTTGAATCAGTTGTATGTTTTTTTACTACAGTTGTCAGTTACCGGTAGGTTAAGTTAATGCAACTTATTTATCGGGTAAATATAGATGTACTGTCTTTCAAACAACACGTTATGGGTGAACTATTAATACTATACAGTTTCTCAAGCCAAAATAGTTTCAAACTTGCGACACAGTGGTAATAAGTTAGTACTAGTTCGCATCATTTAACAGTATGGATTGTATGGATCTGTTCTGTCAATTTGATGAGAAATTTTGGATTTGGTAAATATTTTATTATCATAGTGCATCATTGAATATTTCAAAACATATGATTTCTGAGATATAACATGTGTAAAACAATATCAGTCTTACTTAAACTCACATATTCCCGGTTGTGATGAAGTCAAATTTTCATAAATTGAACACTGTGTTAAAATGTTTGCTAAATATTCTTCAATACGATTTCTGTGAATAGAATAAAATCAATATCCTGAGTACTATAATAAACTGAATAAGTTCAAATTAAAAAAATATCAAATTTACTGAACTCAGAATCTTTTTCTATCGTTTATGAGATGTCAGTTGCATTACTATAAATCGATTCATGTTATTAAATTTTACATTAGCATAGTGAAAGAGGAAATTAACAAGATGAGAGATAGGGAGGAATAATATTAACTTTAGTGGAAAGTTAAACATAAGACATAAAGTTCAGAAGTAATGAATATTAACAAAGGATAAAAAGTAGTGTGGAATCACATTAAGTTCACGATTTGAAAAGTGGATACAGCTAACTGAAAACGATTTCGAATCATATCACACCAAAATAGGCAAAATGTTACGATATTATCATTTTTACATTTTCCGGTGATATATAACACAACATTGATTAAAAAAACCAACTTACACTTAAGCAAAGTATTAGATTAATTGGAAGATATAGAAAATTAAAAGGTGAAATACTCAACAATATAGTACATTAATAATTGCATGTGCATTTTATGGAAGACCACATGGCAAAGTAATTTATTCGGCTATGAACTTCCTAAAATAAGTTGAATATACTATTTTTTTAAATTTTCGGTTCACTTTTACACCAGACAATTAACTAGAATACTCCACACTTTTGTAATAATAGTTGTAGGAAATCAGGATAGAGCTCTATAATCGAGTTTGTATTTGTAACCGATTGCCAATAAGGCCTAATTGAAAAAAAAACACTAATACACAGGGAGCCTAATGTAAGGTTAACTAGTTCCAACCATTCTAAACTAGTTACACTGAAACTATGGTCGAGGTAATTTAGAAAGCACTGAGGACTATGAAATATGACGGTGTTTGGTGTAGAAAAATTGACTGCTATCAAATAATTGATTATGTGCCTGTAACACAAAAGTGGTGTACTCTTTTGCAACAAATGAATATTTGATGGGAGAAACATTACTGAAATGCGGCAATTAATCCATTTAAATATGTGGTTAGTCAGAAAGTCATAAGAAACGTAAAACCTGGGGCATGAGCATTAGTCTAAGTTGCTACATCACATCAGGATGTTAAGATTGAATTATAAAGATGAATACCAAAACGGAAACGGTGCTAGTATTAATGGAAAGTATGCCATCTATAAGATTTGAATCAACATTGTCATACGGGCCAAACTTAGTAAAAACACTTTATCCTCAAGATGGTATTTTACGACGTGTTCTAATTTGTAGTTTATTTGACCTTCGACAACAAATGAATCTTGTTAAATATGATGGCACAAAATAACACAGTATTGTTTGTTACCATAGTGTCGGAGACCTTTAATTGCATGAATTAGAAGCGAGAAATATACAGTACACTAATAAAATTAAACCTTTTAAAAATATCAGCTAAAAAAGGATTGGTCTCCTGTCACCTTATTGATCAACACCTGTATCAATATATCCCACAAAGACGCTCACCTGCATTGAACTAGTTTATACGCAACAAGGGGAATTTCCTCGAAAATAATCCAATGCGACACTTCACTTGTCTCTTTTAATTCACTGAGTACAGACTGAATCAATGTGGCTTTTTCATACTCGTATTTCAGACAAACTGTTCTCTTGTCTTGACATTTACTCTGTAAACAGAAAAACATTCGACTGATTATATACGAAGTCAAAAATATATACAAAATCATTTCACTTGAATTATAATGCCAGAACATCGGCAGGAGTGCTAAACAGACTAGATCCTAAGCATGCACGAACAGGTGATCGACCGGCTTACATATAAGCTAGAACAGTAATTAAAGTTGTCAAGATAAATAACATTAACCCCTTCAGCAGAAAGAAATGGGTCGAAGCTTGACACTTTCATAGTCCTTCATATGTGCTCCACACGGGAACTTTCAGCTGGAAAATACATCCACAAATAGTTTTCAAATTCTGACAGAAAGTTGAGTATAGTCTTTACTAGCAAAGATTTTTGAGTTACTTGTTGTCAACTTATTCATAGAGGACACTGATTGAGTTCGCATGCAATACTTACTGTTAATGGTTAATGGAAGATACAGCAGGAATGAATGAAATATTTGGTTCTTCCAACTATTTCTTTTTACTCACACCCACAGTATTATATGTGCAGAGCAAAGGTGCCGGTTTGAAAAAGATTGAAAAATGACGTGAGAAGAGGATAAGACTCAGATGTACCTTCTGGGAGGTTGACACCGATGGCTTAGTATAGACATATATTAGAAGACCGAGAAGATTTATTAGTGTAATAATTTCCTATTCGTACAACAAATGTAGATTCCAGAGGAGATTACCACTCTTTATCAATGGCTTGGTGTCTTGAACCGACAACAAGACTTTTATGCAATCTTACAGGCGAATGAAGGTTAAGCAGCTCAGCAGTGAAATTTGACAGTGCTGGTACCAAACAAACACTAGTTTCAAGCAATCGCACATAGACTTCAAAGACCTTTCCAAAGTATCAAGCAAAACGGTTAGCTTTTTCTGATGATTACACTGAGATATCTTAAAAAAATATATTGAAATAAATTAAGTGTAACCGTGTTATTTAAATCACGACAACTCGACAAAATCTATTGAACACTAACGTCTACACTGTGGGTGTGTTTCATCACTTTCCAGGCTGACGCTTCCATTCCAGACGATTCTTTAAGCACCTTGCTTAGACGTTTAAGTGCCTGTAACCATTTTCCCCAATTATCGGCATATTTACAAAGAAGTAGGTAAAATGGATCATCGGGAATATTGAATCCACTTGAGTCCGGGGCTGTCAGGAGTTCAAAATCGGAGTCCTAAAAGGTTAATACAATTTAACGAATACTGTACTTTGAGAAAATTATTTTCTGTTTCATTTAACAGATCAAGTGAACGATTTATATACAAGTTTTTCAAATGTTCCGAGCTAAGTGGAGGGGGGAAACTATCAAATACCAAATCTCCTTCGACAGATGAACTCATGGGCAGATCTGGTGCAGATGCTTCGACTTTGTTTTGTTGAGTATCTTCAACAAACGATTCAGCTTCATGATCAGCTGATTGATTTTCTTCTACGTCGGTCGCAAAATGTTCGGCCAGGGAAGGGTATAAACAGTTTGAGCCCTTAGGAGCCAGAAACTCGCCGGAAGAGAAAATTGACTGAACTGCGTTATCCTCATTTCTTGATAAAATATTGGGTTCAGAAACTGATGGCTGAGAACTGGTAAAGACCTCATCTTCAACTGGAAGAGGATCGTCAGGTACAATAACTGATTCTAACCGAGAAATAATTTCATCAGTCTAAAAGTAAAACATGAAATTACATCAAACCTTCAACTTCGGCTTTCTAACTCTGACAGCTTCCATTTAGTCCATCAAGTAGCGCACACACTAAGCATTCCGCGGTTTAAGTAATATTTAAACCAATAACCAATATCTGTGTTAAAAGCTTGTATAAACCAGTTGACTTCTTTTTCTTCTCAATTTATTGTTCGGTACAGTTTCAGGTATTTGGTTGTGTCCAATGAGCGGTATTGTGACCATTGAATTGCGCTAATTCTAGTCAGTGTGGTGGTGATCTGTGGATTAGTATATCTTGTAGTTTGAGTTAATGCGTTTGTCCTACAACAGTAGGGATTGTAGATACCAAATGCTATTACACTATCAGACAGGAGGTTGTTTGCGTGCAATGTGAAATTAATAACGTGGTGATCCAAACGTTTAGAGAAAACGTTTGTTTCAAGAATAACAAATAAATTGTTTTATTGAAGATGTGTAAGGAGATGGAATTGAATGAATAATGAGAGAACAAAGATGACAGTGAGAGAGACAGAAAGTAGTGTGTGGTATGTGCTAATTATGAGCGTGGTAATTGACGAGGCATGCATCAGACACAGATGGTTCAATGGAAGGATGGTAATCCATGGGTGAATGTCAAGTCTCTTCACAAAGCTATAAACTGTTGATGTTGTGACCATTTAAGCTGAGACAGCATTCCGAATGAAGACCTCTTTCAATAAGAAAAGTAGAAAGCGTGCCTGAGGTTTTGCTGTTTGATGTGCACTTTCCAAGGGTGGTCTTCAAGAGTGTGTTGATGACGTCCTGCTGATGTTCACGTTTTGGCGGCTTGACAGAAGTTAACCTAGGATTATTCCTTGTGAAACTCTTGATGTTGTTACCTTAGAACTCAGGCGCATTCTATTTATCTTGTTACCAAACATCCTGTTCTCTAGGTAGTTTTGGAGCCAGGATAAACGTTGATAATTGTTATGTAGAATACATGAGACACGATGTCGAAAACTTTTGTGAAATGGAGGGATATTACATCGTGAAGGATGCCGTTCTTATCCATTTATTCGCTGTTATTCATAGACAAGTGCTTTCATTACCTTCGGCAGCATTAAGAGAAATGCAACAACTCTGTAACAAACTGGGCTTTTTATCTTCTTTCAAGATTCTCGTGTCAGTTGGTGTGAATCTACCAGGCATCCGAACAGATCACACTGATGTGTTAATGGCTTTTGCACACTCGTTCAGAATTACGAGTCGGACTTCGTTACCGCCTGTGGATTTGATGGTTATAGGGATTTTGGTCTCTTTAATAACTACCCGGTAGTTAGTGAGCTGTCTACTAGACACTCAACTGGCACCAGAGCTCGCACGCTCCTGGTTTTGTGGTCTTTGAGATTAGCAATAAAGATTCATCCCATCACTAAGATAGTGCGATTGTTGTGGGCTGCCTCTCTAAAAGTGCGAAGTCACTCTGCAGTTATTGTATTTTGCTTGCTGAGATTGAGAGATGGATTTTGGAATATTAAGCCAATAGAATTTGGTCAAATCTCATGTATGGTACGTTTGGCATCACCTGAACTATCACATTTTTATGAGCATCAGGATCTGTGGGAGACGGTTTATTTCTCCAATAATGTATATCTTGCCGTTCACATTAAAGCAACACCAGCATGATTCAACCAACTCAGACAATTCAGTAGTGTGTGATGTTGTGGCTTTGAAGCGACCGTTAATGAATGCCTCCATATATTTTTTATCTCTTCTAGTTCAGAACTTGATCCTCCTCCTACCGAGGCACTTAATGATTTTTCTCACCACCTGGTTCAACTCAGTATAGACAACGATTTGACTTCCATATCATGATAAATTTGCGATGCTGGAATCAGGCTTTCCATTCTTGTGACAAACATAGAGTACCAGCACCAAACTAGACCTTAAATCTATAAACCCTCCGATATCATCTGGTACACAAGTCATATTCAAATACATAGTGGCTTTCCTATGTGTGACACCGGTTCCGAAACTGATTGCCATTTTGTGGAATATATTATTAAGGAAGTATCTGTACCGTGCAAGGAGGAAAAATATACAACTTTGGGGTTTTCAACAAAAAGAAAATGCCTACTTTTTTATGGTTATCGAGGTATCAACAAGGTAAGGTTTAAAATGTAGCTTATCCTCTATATAACCTTAGACGACTTCACTAGTAGAAAGACGTGATGTGGGAACATATTTTTTTGCTTCACCATTATGAAAGAGATAAAACCAACACAAGAGTAGACTTGTAGTGGCATTGGGCCCTAATACGAGACAATGTAGGAAATAGACATTCAACATTTAACACGGAGAATGCTTGATTTCGAATTCTAAATACAGTACATTCGTTTGTGGTTATCTACTACTTCTTGATCCGATTACGTTATTTCTGGGATTCTTAGTTCATATTATAATTCGAATACTCATAATTATCATATCATATTAAATATATTGTTCTGTCTCTAGCCTAAGTTTGTTCTCTATCATGTATTGGTAATTGTTACAATGTACTGAGTTGGTGTAGATGACGATGTGACTTACACGCAAGATCTTATAGATTAGGCAGTTATATCATGACAAATCTACATTTATAGGATTAGGTCTAATATTAGAGCAGTACTTTTATCAAAGCAGACCATAATTTCACAGACTTTCTATATCATAAAACTGTAAACTTGGCAAACAGCGAATTATGAGATAGTGGAGAAGATTCATAGCTCATTTTCTGACGAAATTTGTGCGGATGATATCGTTCAGGAGAACGATGAATGCTCCACGACCAATTCATCCAGCTCAGAGAACAAAACTCCATCAAAATCAACTAATTACCATGTTCAATGCTATTCGTAAGACAAAGTATAATCAGAAGATGATAAGCCGCTTATCTTAGTATTTATGTGTTTGGTCTCGGACTTAGAGTAACCGATAGTCCTTATGATGTCAGCAAAATTTATTCTGTAACGTGTAGTGAGTCATAAGTTATTCTCAGTGGTAGAGCATACCTATTGCTACGTTTTGACCGCGAAGTCACAAGAGAAGGGTATGAGATACGACTGGTTTGCGTCTTGTTTCCCCCAGTAAAAATCTCCAACATAGGCAGCTTGGGAAGCACTTTCTTACCACGTCTTTTGTTTGCTAGTCTTACAAGGTGTAGTGACATGCATGGGTTGAAGTACAATACTGGTTACTTAGTTGGAGATTCATTTTTGATGTTTGAGTTGAGCAATCCATGTTGTACACATCACTCTGGTGTTCATATCAAACTCGAAGAGTGCGCGTTGTTCTACAGTATATTACGGTAATGCCTTGGAGTATTTGGAGAAACGATTTTCGTGAGAGTATGTTTTCACGTGATATTTGTAATAATTGGTGCTTCTTTTATACATAAGTAAGAGCCAACATAATCCACAAGCGGAAATAAGGAGTAGCTTTATTCATTGCAAATAATATCCCATTTACACTTATTGATAGCACTCCATGATAAATACTTACTTACTTACGTCCGTTACTCCTCGTGAGTGTGCATAGGCCTCTCAACAGTATTCTCCACCCAACGCTGCGTGGGAAAAACTTTTTAGTTCTTTCCAGTTGTTATTCATCCTTTTCATATCTGCTTCTAGTTCCAGACGTAATGTGTTTGTTGGCCTTCCACTTTTCCACTTTCCTTCAGGATTCCAAGTTATTACAGGCCTCGTGATGCAGCTTGTTGATTTGCGTAATATATGTTCTATCCATTTCTATCGTTTTTTTTCTAAATTTGTTTTTAAGCTGGAAGCTGGTTTGTTCTCTCTCACAGAAGGCTGTGCTGATGGTATCCGACCAATGGATGTTGAATATCTTGCGTAGACAAATATTTATAGGTACCTTTATCTTCTTGACGATAGTTGTGGTAGTACGACAAGTTTCAGCTTCGTACAGTAGAACCGTCTTGACGTTCGTACTGAAGATTCTCACTTTGATATTGATTGACAGTTGTTTTGAGTTCCATATGTTCTTCAACTGTAGGAATGCGGCCCCTGCCTCGTCGATTCCCCCATTTACTTCTTCATCAGATACACACTGTTCATCGACAATGCTCCCAGGTATGTGAAGGATTCTACATCCTCCAGAGTTTCGACATCAAGAGTGATTGGATTGCTGTTCTCCGCCTTGAATTTGAGGACCTTGGTCTTCCCCTTGTGTATGTGGAGGCCTACTGATGCAAAGACTGCTGCTACACTGGTTGTCTTTATCTGCATTTGTTCGTGTGTATGCGATAGGAGGACTGGGTCATCTGCGAAGTCCAATTCGTCTAATCGGTTCTGAGCTGTCCATTGTATGCCGTGTTCTCCCTCAGATGTTGAGGTCTTCATAATCCAGTCGACCACCAGAAGAAAGAGGAAGAGTGAGAGAGTAGACAGACTTGTCTGACTTCCGTCCTTACCTGGAATACATTTGTCAGCTGTCCTCCATGCACGACTTTGCACTGTGGTCCGTCGTATGAGTTCCGGATAATATTGACAATCTTCTCAGGGACTCCGTAGTATCGAAGAAGTTTCGATAACGTTCTCCTATCTACGCTGTCAAATGCCTTTTCATAACCAATGAAGTTGATGTACAGTGACGAGTTCCGCTCAACTGATTGTTCGACGACGATCCATGGTGTCGCAATCTGGTCTGTGCACGACCGATCTTTACGGAATCCAGTCTGTAAGATGCAAGATAACTCCTCCCTTTATTCAAATTTGTTCACTTCTATTAGGTAACTAATCAATTAAGATCCCTAATATACGCAGATGATAACATAGATAATTCTAATGTTAACTAAGATGCTAAGATGCACATACAATAAGGTCAGTAAAATAATGCAAATTTCATAATAAATTATGTAGTTGATAAGAATAGGAATCTACATGTAAATGAGCTGATCATAGTTATCGAACTTCGTTGCTAATTCTTCCACGTATTTCTTCCTGTCGGCTCTAATGCTTCTCTTCACTTGTTTGTTTGCTTCTATGTATTCAGCTTGTGCTTCGACTTCCTCTGCTCCTGTTCGGCCG